GACCCCGTGACTTGCGACGACATTGGTGCTGGTGGTGCCCTCGCCGCCTTGATGAAGGATGCCATTAAGCCAAACCTGATGCAGAGTTTGGAAGGCACTCCTGTGATGGTGCACGCTGGTCCCTTCGCCAACATCAGTATTGGCGCCAGCTCTGCCATCGCCGATAAGCTTGCCCTCAAGCTTGCCGGTACTGAGCCTGATGAGGATCATGAAGCCAAGACCGGTTACGTGGTCACTGAGGCTGGCTTTGATTTCACAATGGGCGGTGAACGCTTCTTTAACATCAAGTGCCGCTCCTCCGGTCTGGTTCCGGACACTGTCGTTATTGTGGCTACTGTCCGTGCGCTTAAGGTTCACGGCGGCGGCCCCGAGATCAAGCCCGGTGCCCCTCTCCAGGAGGTCTATCGCACTGAGAATGTGGATGTTCTCCGCAAGGGTTGTGTTAACCTGCGGAAGCACATTGCCAACGCCAAGCAGTACGGCGTCCCGGTGGTGGTCGCGATCAATAAGTTCGAGACTGATACCGAGGCTGAAATTGCTGTCATCAAGGAGGAGGCGATTGCTGCAGGTGCCGAGGATGCTGTCCCTGCCAACCATTGGGCTGAGGGTGGAGCTGGCGCCGTTGATCTGGCCAGGGCTGTCATGACCGCTAGCTCCAAGGAGAAGAACTTCCAGCTTCTCTACGGACTGGATGGTACTATCCAGGAGCGCATCGAGCGCATCGGCCAGGCCATGTATGGTGCTGAGAAGGTCGAGTTCAGTGAATTGGCCCAGAAGAAGGTCGACACCTACACCAAGCAAGGGTTCTCTAACCTGCCGATCTGTATCGCCAAGACTCAGTACTCACTCAGTCACGACCCAGCCCTCAAGGGCGCCCCCACCGGCTTCACTGTGCCCATTCGGGATGTTAGATTGGCTGTGGGCGCTGGATACCTGTAAGTTTTTTTTTTTTTTTTGTTCCCGCATTTTGTGGGAATTCGTCTCGCTAACATATAGCTATAGCTACGCCCTGGCTGCTGATATTCAGACCATTCCCGGACTACCCACTGCCCCCGGCTACCTTAATGTGGACATTGACACCGAGACTGGCGATATCGACGGGCTATTTTAGAGTACGATATAGATAAGGAGATATTTGGAGCTTGCATATACCACTGTTCGAATTTCGGTTCTTCAACACATACGATAATTGGCGTCTGATCGGGTCCTTAGATGGATATTTTTCAACACCGCGCAATCCGGGGCAATTGGACAGGTGAAATTCATTTTGGCATGTTATTTCATCATAATCAATATACAACATATATATTTTCTCTGGATATAAATCATACAATTCGGTTGGAGCTTTTCCGGGGTCAAAAAGGGAGGGCCGGTCAAGGCCGGAGTTGAGCTCCGTTCTCCGGGAACCGCTCTATCACCGCGTATAGGCTTCTTCAGCGGGTCGGTTGATGGAGCTTGAAGTGAAAATTATCTCAGAAAGGATTAGATCGATGAGTCAGGGGACCTTGAAGTGATAGATTTAAAGAAACAGAGGAATCCACGTGAATTTGCTGTTCAAAAACATTCGTATCCCAAATCTCCTATCTCGTGACTGTCCGGCTTCGGCGCTTCTTTTTGCGGAGTTGTTCATAAGATCCCCAACCTCCATCGCACCGGACAAGGCTTTTTCCTCCTCTACTCTTTTAACTATTTGATCACTTCGTTATTCGGTAATTCTCCCTTTCTTATTTGCCTTATTCATCTTATTCCGATCAATTCCCGTGTTGCCCCGGTACCTTTTACCCCCAAAGTCCCGGAAATCGCATCTTCTCTCTACCCTTTCTCCGGGCAATTTCCCGACTCCACACTTTCCTTTCTGCCGAACTTCATTCCCTCGGCTGTAAACCAGCGAGTGAAGGCGACTTACATCCCGCTCAGCCAAACAGAAACTGCGAAATTCGCGCTGACATCCTTAGGCTATTCCACGATGAACGCTCTCCGGTCCAGTTCCGCACTCGCTCGTCGGTCCCTTGCGACCCCTCCTGCCCCTCTCTCTTCTACTTCTCGTCTTATTTCTTCCTCTTCTTTCACTTCTTCTTCTAAGAGATCTATCTCCTCTACCTCCCTCTCTCAACGAACTAATCGAGTTGTTGCTTCTTCCCGCTGGTCCGGATCGATCTCCTCGTCTATCACTCAAACCCGCACTATGGCTTCCGAAAACAAGATCAAGGTCAAGACCCCTTTGGTCGAATTGGATGGTGATGAGGTATGGGAAACCCTTTCCTTTTATAGTTCAAACTTTGAATCAGCCTGTTTCACAAGCCCGCATATTCTCGTGCTTGCCCGCGCATTTTCGTCGAAAACGCGGGGAAACACGGGGAATTCGCGATAATTCGTGTGTCAATCGGACGATGACGCTGCACAAGGCTTTGAAACTCATCCTTGACATGTGCTAACCGGATGATCTTCGTGAACATAGATGACTCGTATTATCTGGCAAGAAATTAGAGAGAAGGTAAGCTTATCGTCCCCTTCCTCGCCCGGGCTAGACCTGCATGATCGCCGCCGTTGCAGCTGCATGCAGTGGATACATCATAATTCGTCCCGACCCGGATTCATGCTTGATACTAATTGGCTGCCTATAGTTGATCCTGCCTTATCTCGATGTCGATCTCAAGTACTACGATTTGGGTATTGAGTACCGTGATGAGACCAATGACCAGGTTACCATTGATGCCGCCGAGGCTATTAAGAAGTACGGTGTCGGTGTCAAGTGTGCCACCATCACCCCCGATGAGGCCCGTGTTAAGGAGTTCAAGCTGAAGAAGAGTAAGCTCATTAAGCTCAGCGGCGGAAATCCGTTTTGTGTAACACCAAAAAGCTAATCATTCCTAGTGTGGCTCTCCCCCAACGGCACTATCCGTAACATCCTGTGAGTAAATTCAACCCTATTGGCTCTGACCGTTCACTAACGATCAATTCTAGTGGCGGTACCGTGTTCCGTGAGCCCATTGTCATTCCCCGCATTCCCCGCCTTGTCCCTGGCTGGACCAAGCCTATTATTATTGGCCGTCACGCCTTCGGTGACCAGTACCGTGCCCAGGACCGTGTCATCCCCGGCCCTGGTAAGCTCGAGTTGGTCTACACTCCTACCGGTGGTAAGCCCGAGCACATCCAGGTCTTCGATTTCCAGGGCGGCGGTATCACCCAGTGCCAGTACAACACCGATGAGTCCATCGCTGGCTTCGCCCACTCCTCCTTCAAGATGGCCCTCATGAAGGGTCTTCCCCTCTACATGAGCACCAAGAACACTATCCTCAAGAAGTACGATGGCCGCTTCAAGGATATCTTCGAGGAGATCTTCCAGAAGGACTACAAGAAGGACTTCGATGCCAAGAAGATCTGGTACGAGCACCGTCTCATTGACGACATGGTCGCTCAGATGATCAAGTCCGAGGGTGGCTTCGTTATGGCTCTTAAGAGTGAGTTTTCCGTCCATCCCATGTTGCTTTATGTCTTATCTAACACGCATCTTCAGACTACGACGGTGATGTCCAGTCCGATATCGTCGCCCAGGGCTTCGGCTCTCTCGGTCTAATGACATCCGCTCTCGCCACCCCCAACGGAGATGCCTACGAGTCCGAGGCCGCCCACGGAACCGTGACCCGTCACTACCGCGAGCACCAGAAGGGTAACGAGACCTCCACTAACCCCATTGCCTCTATCTTCGCCTGGACCCGTGGTCTCGTTCAGCGTGGCCAGCTGGATAACACCCCCGAGGTTGTCTCCTTCGCTGAGGAGCTCGAGCGAGCCTGCGTTGACGTTGTCAACGAGGAGGCTATCATGACTAAGGATCTGGCTCTCGCCTGTGGCCGCAAGGACCGCGAGGCTTGGGTCACCACTGGCGAGTACATGGCTGCCGTTGAGCGGAGGCTGAAGGCCAACCTCAAGGCTCGCCTTTAGATTGTTTTCCCATTTGCTGAAAATTTGATGAGATACTCCCGTTTTAGAATCCCTAGCGGAAAGGAATTGGCCTAATTTTGATCGGTCATTTTTGTATAGTTTGCAATTGAATTGTCATTCTGTATACTTCACAAGTGCATCGTAGACAATAAGATTGCAAAACAGTATCACGTCAATTTTTGGTTCTATGCTTGTTTCAGGTTTTCCCACTGTCTACTCTAGCTCACTTCCACAGGGGTAAAGAATCCTACCTTTGTCGATTGCAGGGGACATACAAAAAATAACCATTCGAAACGTCACCGACGCCACAATCCACTTCAGAGTCAGAAAGCACATAACCAAATTAACATGGCTCGAGGCAGAACTCAACAAGGAAATGATAATTCTCACCTTTGGAGCCGAACATCAACCCAAACCCTAAGTAGGAAATCAGCCATACAGAAGGTGCCCCAAGTAAGAGTCAAACAAGGGTCTTCAACTTAATAATGTGAATCTTTGGCCTCGCTGCCTGGTTACTTTCTCCAGAGTTACGGGGGAACCAGTACCGAACAATCATAAAAAATTCGAACCAATCAGGACGTGAGTCGGATACATGGATCCACAACTTTATTTGGACAGCCAATCATATCCATCTGATCTTAGTTTAGCTATCGACCTAGATTGAGGTCTTGACGCAAGTGGTTATCTCTCTTTCCTAATGCGGCCATTTTGTCTTTTCGATGGACCAACCACCATCGAGCGAAGTTTGATTGGAGGACAGAGGCTTCGGAGATGAAAGCCTTGATTCTGCAGATCTGGCTGTCAAACTTGTGTTTGTCACTACGCAGGGTTTTGGCTTAAGACTGTCATCTTTTTCTTCTCTTGTTTTACTTTCTACTTGAAACGAACTTCTTTAATTGCAATACTGCTCCTACCTATTCAACAATCACTCGAAGTGTGATAGCAGTACTGTTACTGTTTCACTGCATTTCCTTCAATGCAATGACAAACGTCGACGCCTTTCCAACAAGATTTTCTTGATATATTTGAGACTTGTCAATTGTTTCCTTGCCGATCGAATGTATGTTGTGATAGTCACGTCGGTCTTCACGGGGCTGGCGCTTTATGTTGTCGCCCTCCGGCTATACACTCGGTTCTATCTAGTGAAGGCTCCTGGGCTGGATGATTTGATTATATTATGTGCATTGGTATGTACTTCCATCTGCTATGTATACCACGAGTATATACTCTCAGATGAAGTAAGTATGTGGGGAGTGAGAGCCCAAAGCTAATCATCTATCACAGCTCGTCGATGTGTCATTCTATTCCTTTATACTTCTTGGTAAGTGGTCCATCCCAGCAACGCATTATTAAGATTCATTTCAATCTAACAAGTTCCTCCACAGAAAAATCATATGGCCTCGGCCTCCGCTCAACAGAACTCTCCGAACATGACATCCAACACCAACTATTTGTACGAAAAAACCCCTCCCTGCTATCAAATCATAGGGAAAACAAGTCACTAATCAAAACCAACTACAGTGGCTATGGCTTTCGATCCCTTTCTACAATATGACCATGATCTTCGCCAAGCTCTCCGCACTAATACTCTACGCCCGCCTCTTCCGTCCCCGTACCTTCCTCATAGTTAACTACATCTCAATGGGCTTCCTCATCATCGCAGGTCTATGGACGATCCTGAGCGGCTTTTTCTTCTGTGTTCCTGTCCGCGCCTTCTGGGATCCATCCGAAGAAGTCCGCCTAGACAAATGTCTACCCGTCGTCCCGGTCTGGTTCACCAATGCGGCACTCCAGACTTCTACCGATCTGCTGATATTGGTTTTGCCCTTGCCCCTGTTGTGGAAGTTACAGCTACCGAAAAGACAAAAGTGGGGGATACTTGTTGTCTTTAGTCTTGGAATCTTGTAAGTCAAAGTACATGTTTGTGGTTGATCTTGGGACTGAAGCTGATTGTTCTTATAGTATTGTTGGCGTCAGTGCCGCTCGCTTGTATCCATTGAGCATTATGGTTGGCGATGGAGATTTTATGGGTAAGCAGATAACTCTTTTTACAATGATCCTGCAGCATACAAAAAGAATAAAAACTAACACACCAACAGAAGCAAATGCCGAAGCAGCCCTCTGGTCCTCCCTCGAAGCAAACGTATCCATCATCTGCATCTGTCTGCCACCACTCCACCCACTCCTCTCCCGCGCCTTCTCATTCTTCTGGCTTCCTCGGCCAATAAATTCACGACGACCCTCAAAGACTTACTCCAATAGAACGCAGATGACCGAGCCTCTCAACCGGGATGGCGGTATCTGGTGCAACGAACTCTTCAGTCCCGGACCGACGAGTTACTCTGCTAGTATTTCCAAGGTCGATACCAATGAAGAAGCACACGAAAATGAGGAGGGCATTCGTGTTAAGCGGGAGTTGAGGATGCAGTCTGAGAATATTGTTACTCCTTCTCGACGTCTTTCTGCGAATGGTGCCCCTCTAGATATGGAGATGGGGGAGGGGGCGGCGGCGGCGATGAGTCATCCTGCGCCTGAGAATCCATACTCCATTTCTAGTGTTGAGAGGGATTTCGGAGATTTCGAGTTCCCGGACTATAAGGAGAGAATGAATGCTCCTATTTGAACGCGTTGGCAGTTTGGATTGTATATATTGAGCAACATCAGAGGCCTGTGATTAAGTTGCATATAGCCACTATATCAATAACGATGGGAATCTTATAAATTGGATCATGTTAGGTTGAGTACAGGTGCGACATTTAGAAAGCATGATATAGTTATATATAATATTCTGTCTACCCCCGTCGTCGAGACTGGTGGCAAGGATCTACGTGGAAACGTCAACAGTACCAAACATCCCTAGTGTGGATATGAAATAAATGACTATGGAGCTACATATGATGTCCAATCTGAGTCTATCTCTAGCATAGGACGAATCAAAGATTTGCCCACGAGGGAATCTTCCCCTGCATAGCCTGTTCAATTGCCTTGGCCACAGCAACACACTTCTCTTCACCGAACCGGCCCCCAACAACCTGTAGCCCGACAGGCATACCCTCGACCAGGTTGATGTCATCTAAACACGAATCAGCATCATGCGGAGAGAAGGCTCCAATGTTTGATGTACTCACACTGCTGCTTATTAAATCTATCACTATCATTCCTGGGAACATGGGCCAGCCACTCTTCATCCGGAACATCCTTCGTCCTCGAGGCAGTAGTCACAGGCACTGCCAGCGCGGCATAGCCAAGGAGGTTCCAGATACTCGTGTAGCCCACATATGCACTGGACTTCACCCACGTCCACGGCTTGTATCCCACCCATGAGGTATTAGGCATGATTAATGCGTCGATATCGCAGGATATCCATTTATCAAGATATGCTGATTCGAAATTGTATTTGTCCGCATTGAGCTGCGATATATATTAGCAAGTAGTAACCATAGTACCAAAATGGGAGTTCCCTCACTTGGTGCGTTTGACTAGTAGTCAAAGTATCCTCGGGTTTACCAACGAGCATACCCTCAACAAGCGGCTCGCCGGTTTTTTCGATCTGTCTTCGACAGCCCTCGCCGCCATCGGAGAAGATAGCCTTTGTCCAGAGGTCATATGCATAACTATGAGAAGAGGCATCCCACTCAAACACTGAGATTTGTCAGTAGATGGTCCAGAGTAGCCAATAGAGGTTATTGTCAGTTAGCATACCCTCATGTCCCGCCGCCTTCAGCGCATCAACAACCTCACGCATAGCCCTCGCAATCGGCGGCTGAACCTTGACAACACCATCATCAACCAAAAACCCAATCCTCAACCTCTTCGCACCAGGAGAAGCCAACTCTCTCCTCCACGCAACAGGCGTAACATGATGATCAACCTCCCACGGCCTGGCGTCCGGCAAAACTTCCATATACCTCTCAATAGTCGCAAGACTGCAGGCCATAGGCCCAGCAACAGATCTCACAATATCCTGCCCGGGACTATAAATTATCGAAATCAGCCTCAGCACTTGCTTCTTCTTCACCACACGAAGAATCAACCACATCAAAGAAATAAACCGATAAACTTACTTCCCCCTCTCATACGGATGTCTCCCGGGACTAGGCGAGAGACCATAAAGCCCACAAAGCGCAGCAGGAATCCGAATCGAACCACCCAGATCGGTACCAATACCAAGCACACTTCCACGCGCCGCAACAAGCGATCCCTCTCCACCGGAACTCCCGCCGGAAATCAGCTCGCGGTTGAAAGGGTTAACACATTGCCCGAAGACGTGGTTGTACGAGTCGGACATCATCATTGATTGTGGTAGATTGGTTTTCACGTAGAGGACGGCGCCGAGACGGCGGAGTGTCCGCGCTACGGATTTGTCTGCTTTTGCTGGGTTGTTGGTGAGGCCGACCCAGCCTGGATTTTGAGTTGTTAGTATGCAAATACCGATAACTATAGAACTGGAGGTAAAGATAATACGTGGACTTTTATGGTAGGTGTGTGAGGAATGGGAAGGATAATTTACCGATCGAAGTGTCTACTCCTTGAACAGAGAATAGGTCTTTGATGGATACTGGTAATCCGTGTAGAGGGCCGATAGTCTTCCCTGTCTTGGCGAGGTAGTCGTCTAATTCTTGAGCGACGGCAAAGGCCTCCTCGAAGAAGATCTCCGTGCAGCATGTTGTGAGTTGGTGGGCGAGGGCGGCGCGCTTGGCGAAGACTCGGGTCAGCTTTAGAGATGAGAGTTCTCCGGATGAAAGCTTGCGGAGGAGGACGGCGATATCGGTCTCTTCTGTAAGAGCCCGTTCCTCTGGACTGAGAATGCGGCACAGATATGCCAGAGCATTTGGAGCGAATTCTATGGAGGGAACGGGATCTAAGCGCCATTCGGGGAGGATGAGGGAGAGCTGGTCGGCGCGCTTTTGAGCGCAACGGTCTTGGTACGAGGTAGCCATGGAGGGAATTCCTTTGTTGTATGTTTATGATCAAATTATGAGAACTATGAAGGTAAGGATTTAAATAGGACCTTTATATTTGTTCAAGACCGACAAAGTAGACATGTAGATAAGAAGTGGGATGCCTAGCCGGATTAGGAAGGCAATCTAATCGACGCTAAACCCCACACCGCATATCCTCCACCTCCGCTCGCACTGCGCCTCGGCGTCCGGATAACGGGGGAATTCACACGACTGGCAATTTCGCCAGTACCCTCGGATTATCTCGCACTGGCGTGCTGTCGAAGCACTCATCCCTATCAGGTATGCGGGGGTAGCTAGATGCACGTAGAACCTCGATTTAGAAGGGATTTCCGCAATAGCCTGGCATGCTCGATCCACCATGGAGGAGACTACGTTCGAATGATATGTCGATGCAGAGGGATCGCCGCCCGTAGTCATTCCCGCGCGACTGAACGCCATGATTGCCGCGGCCCCTCTATACACGGTCGCAGCAAGATTGCGGTCCGTCGAGTCGCCCGCATTGAGCTGTAGAATTTGGGCTATTACTCGGGCACTGAGGTCCACAACGCGGGTTCCATTGCCATCGCGGTGTTTTGCAAGATAAACAAATAGATCGAACGTATCTGCTGGACATCCGACTGAGTCGAAGAATCCGGCGGATAAGGTCTCGCGATGCCAGTCCTCGAAAATTAATGGACTTTGCCTGACAAGGGCACCTGTAACATCAAACCACACTAGATAGGCGAGGACATCAGCTAGACCGGAGATCTCGCCGCAGAGGTTGTCGAGATCGGCCTTGTGTTGGCAATGGAGATCTAGCAGCGAGCGCGCGCCTTGGAGATGACAATGCCAGTTGCCAAAAGATCCGCAGCATACTTCGAACATAGCGAAAGTTGCGATGCCGAAAAGCGCGATTGGGTGCGCCGACTGGATAACTTGGCTCAGGTTTGTCAAGGCCACTAGATGCGACTGCAGGGATTCTTTGTTGTTTGCATCTTGGATGCGCGAGCGGGCGAAGCTTAGCGTGCGTGAAATCAGCTGGATTCCTTCTTCTGGGATGTCACGGCTGCTGGATTGGATTTGTTGACAGAATGCGTCCAGGAGGTCGACAAAGCCATATAGATTGATAGATGCTGACTTGTAAACCTCAACGTTTGGTGGTTCTTCATTGGGAATCTGTGGTGGAGTGCTTTTTGGCGATTTGGACTTCTTCTTATCATCTACCCATACAACTCGTTGCGGATAGTTGCATGCCTCTCCACTCTGGAGACAGGCTTGACATCGGGGCCGGTTCAGGTCACATTTGACCCCTCGGACTTTGCAGCGACCACAGTCTCGGTCATGCCGAATACCACGAGGCTTTTTCACTTTCATGGTGTGTGAAGGTGCCAGGTTTGGAAGGCTATCAACTAGCCCTGGAGTATAGTGCGGGGGTTGCGGACACCCCCGATTGGTCTCAGGTGGGACTCTCATTTGATCCTTCGGGTGTTTTTTCTTTTTTCTTATCTTGTTTTCCTGCCTTCTTTGATGTCTGATTAAAAAAAGGAGTCAGCACTTATCTAGCAATGTCCCTGGAAAGGTGGAATAATTGGGTTCAATTCTGGTTGGATTCAACGAGTGAAGTACACACGCTGGGAATAAAGCGAGAGACAATATCATCAACTGGGAGCCAGTTAAAAACAATAAACAAGCAAACGAAGGACAAATCCATTAACCGGAAGCCAGTCGTGAGTAACAAAACTGAACGAGAGGCAATGTCACCGGGGGGCTCAGAACAACAAAACAACGAGGAAAAGAGACGCAAAGTCATTAGCCAATTGAGAAGAGCAAAATGACCAAACGAAAACAAAGCCTCGTCGGAAGCAAGAATAGCCAAAAGAATGTGAAGGCCAACGAGAGACAAATTCACCAGCCAGGGGCCAGCTGAGAACAACAAAATGACAAAACGAAAGGAAAGCAACCTCGCTAAAAGCAAGAATAGAAAAAGGCATAGCAAGACCCAGCAGCAACGAAATGGAAAAGAAGGACATCTATCTATAAACCAGAACCCAGTCAAAATAAACTTGTGTGAATCAGACCAACAATCAAGACAGTGATACAGCCTCATGTCTTGTACAGACCACTTCTCTTTCGATTATAACTCAGTGCTTGCACATACCCGGGCTCCAGTGGGGCATCCGCATCATGTTGCAATACTGTTGCTTGCCACGATCAGATTGCTTTCTGCGTTGCATCATGCGCTCGCGTCGATCGCGTCTCTTGGTAGCCGAATTCGGTTGCTCTGGCTTCAGCTTCAGCGCCTCGATTAAGATCGCTGACTGTGCTGCTCTTTGGGCCTTCCTTTCTTCCGCGCGTCGACGACGCAGTATAACCTTTCGACGATGCTTTGAGATAACACGGATGGAGGAGATCTTGGAAAGCTTGGAATTCTTTGAAACCTTTGAGACCTGCGAGACCTTTGAGATCTTTGAGCCTGAGACCTGAGACAGGCTTTTTGCTTCTGCGACACTGATGCTTGCATGCAAACTGCTTCCACGGGAGACCCTTCTTCTTCGCATCCTCTTCATTTGCTCGATAGCAGCAACTGTGAGAGATCGAGTGGACGCAACGCTGCCACTTTGCATTGACACAACGCTTTCGTTTTGCAGCGATGCAACGCGTTGGGGCTTGGCGAACGATCCAGCATCATGTGCATGTGGATAAGGGGACTCGGGCCTGCGAGCGTTCGCTGAGTTGGCCACTGAAAGAGGGGGGCTTCCAACGCCGACTGCACCAAAGATCTGAGGAGGAATCGAGTTCTCGATGCTCATACGTCGTTTCGGCTCAGCAGGGTCTTGAGCAACATTCAGATACTACGAATTCATGTCGACCACACACATTCCAACAAAAGGGGTCTAGAGTATCACACTGAAGGGAGGCTGCTCCAAGAAGTGGTTAGCGTGGTTTAGGGGGCTATGATGGAGCACCGTAGGCAAGGAAACAGCATCATTGTGCTGGGCGTTTGGCGAGACGTGTTGTTCAGGGCAATCTTTAGTTGAGGCAGCATTACTGGCGGCCACAGAAGAAGCTTCTCGTTCTGAGATACTCTGGTGCAATGAGTCCACACCGTGCGAGCAGTGATGACAGACAACGTCGTATTCGCCTTCTCGTGGTATGAACGTCATTGACGCCGGGTACATTCCCATATACAAGTCAGTGGCCCAGTTGCAAATCTCCAACCAAGAAGGCAACTCGTCAAGTGGGATCAGGGGTGTCCAGAAGCCTCCGGGACGCAGTATGCAAAATCGGGGCCGTGGCCGGGCAAGAAAGTTAGGAGGGGGTTGATGAGAGGTTTGAACATAGACCGGAACTGGGGTATACTGCATGTTGAAGAGACTGTAAGAAGATGGAAACGATTGTAGCGGAAGAATGAGTGTATAAACGAAAGAGTGTTGAATGAAAGAATGTATGGGGATTGGAAGAGGAAGAAGAGGAATAGGAAGAAAGGAAGACAAGAGGGAGGATGGAGGTTTGTTGATGGCAGTAGTTCTAAGGAAGGAACAGCATTGCAGGAAGGAGCGGAGATGGGTCAAATGTCAACAAACCGAAAGAGCAAAGAATATCTTGTACTAAATTGATCACAGCGATAACCATCTAAAGTGTCTATAAGGTCCCAGTTAATATCAATATGGAATCGGATAGTCCATCTGATTTATATCATGTCCTCTTCAAAAGGGGTCGGTCCTTGTCGGTCCTTCTATCCGGCAATCTCAACGTTGCGCAGATTGATGATGACATTTGTACTTCCCTAACTATTTGAGGGAGACATAAATAGGAAAAATTCAAGACATATTGCAACTGATTTTATGATTTCTTGCATCTTAGTGTTAACCAGTATGGTTGTCTAAATATGCCATAGTTCCGTGGGTTGGCAGATAGATGGGAATAACATCAGGAGCAGAAGTTTTCCGAAACTTGAGTATGATACTAAGTCTTATCCTGACTGCTGTACAACATATATTGGGCTCAAACAAAGGGAAGAGAGAGCATCAAGGTCAATGATGCATCTGTTTACATATCTATATGCGTTAGTTTGTTATGGGGACAGCACAAAATTCCCCATATTCTTCCAAGGTTGGTCTTGGAATCACTATAATTACATCTTTGAGTCACTTCTTGGTCAAGTTGACTTAGGAAATACTAGGGCTATTTTCTCATTTGCACTTCCAATGTTCATACTCAATCACCTTATCGCATCTTATCGCATCTTGCACTTCAAAGCTTATCGGCCCGGATGCAAACAACATCCGTGCTACGTAGGTACTCCTCTTGACTCTTAGTTACCTGCTTACCTGCTTACCTTCGTTTCCCCATCAACTCCCTTCCTCATCAACTCCAAAGCTTCACCATCAAGCTCCCAATCCATCATGACGACCTTGACAGACCCAACCAACGCCACCCGCGCAACCCCCAACATCCCCATCGACAAAGCGACTCTCCACCTCGGCAGCTCAACCTTCATAAACGCCCCCTCCCAAGAAGTCTGGGCCGCCCTAACGGACACCTCAACCTGGCCAAGCTGGAACACCTTCGTGCCACGTGTAACCGTCCGCTCCCAGCCAACCCCAGACCCATCTCCATCCACCTCCGCACCGGACCCAGCACCAGCATCAACATCCACACCAACCACCCAATCGACAAGTACAAACCTATCCCCAATCCTCCAAAAAGGCACAAAGTTTACCTTCCACGTCCGCATGGACACAACCTCCACCAAGCCCCAGCCCTCAACAGACGTGCACCTCCTCATCAGCGAATTCAGAGCGCCGAACGCGGAGACCGGCGAGGTCGGCCGTATTGTTTGGTGCTTTGACCCCGAAGCGCCTGGTTCATATTCGCCATCACTTTTGATGGCGGAGCGCGTGCATGAGATTACGGCTGTTGAGGGCGGAACGGAAGTGCGTAATTGGGAGGCGCAGGTTGGGTGGTTGGTTTATGTAGTGCGGTGGATGTATAAGGCTAAGCTACAGGCGAATTTTGAGATGTGGGTTGCTGATTTGAAGGGATTTGTTGAGGGGAGGCAGTAATGCCTTCAAATCTGAGGCTTCAGGACTCACTGAATCCGAATAAAAGTAGCAGTGTTGACTATCTTTTTCATCAAATCTACCAAACTTATTGTGGTCTAGCGCACAAGAGGTCGTGGCGGTTTTACAACAGCCATAATACGGATGAAATATATATCAAATAATGGCAAATTCATTCGGCTTCAGTTTGGTTTGAATAGCTATATGAAGCCCAGAACTTGGAATGGTAATGTTCCGATTTATTCAGCGATAAAACCTGTCAGCAATGACCGGAATGCTCGATTTAAAAGTATAAACCCGTCAGCTCGCAGACAGGGATTCAGCATCAGCCTGTATGCAACTGTCCCGGAGATTTTCATCTAGATAAATTATAAGCCACAAAATCAACAAAGAAACAAGCTAACTTGGGCATACGAAATTCATTATGGCTAAATTTCACCACATAGGAGACACGACCTAGAGGTCCCAAGTTCAATGACCTTGGCAAAGGGACCGTTTTCCCAATATGGATCGGCAGACGGTGTTTAGGATAAACGGCTATCGTATAACTCATGAAGCTCGAAGGGAGAACTCCAGTGTGCGCAAAGTTGACCACCCAGAGCTGGCCGTGTTTATCAATAGGAAAATTGCTTGGGTGTATATCTGCATATTAGCATGGGAGTTCAGTACTGAAATCCACTTTATCTTGTCTTCCTGTGATACTGTTGTTCTATTCTAGATACTGTAGATATGTTAGTTTAACCAAGAGAGTTGCTTCCAAACTACATCTGAGAAAGACCTACTCGATTGAGATAAATTTCGAGCTCTGCGGTGGAAGAAAACAGAATGAATAGGAGGCTCGCAGTTTTTGAAGAAATGATGCCTGTAGATACCGCCACGAAAGCTCCCAAAGACACCCGGTGGCGGGGGGATACTGATTAACTCCGAAAGAGCTTGTGCTCTCTGTTCATCTGAAGCAGTCTTCTCAGAGTCGATTTCAATATGCTCCATGACGAAGTAGGTAAATCCCCTGCCCCTGCCATTCCCCGATTCAAAAGCGTGGTAGACCTCCGGAACCCGGATGGTGGTGTTACTTATTTTCCTACTCTCCCGATGGAAGAATACGTATACATGGGCTTCCTCCATTGTGACGTTGTTATATTTGATAAAGAAGGTATTGCCTTGGCGGAATATGTGAGGGTATTGGAATAGCAGCCCTTTTTCTTGCAGAGGCGCACTACCACGTCCTTGGAGGGTAAGCCAGGGATTGCAAGGTTGAGGATTTCCATCTGAGTAGTTGACATAATGGTGGAACAGTTGTGTTTCTGAAAATCAAAGAAGAGGGACCGAGGTGGGATAACCTTAGGAAGGGGGGATAAGGACGTAGAATCACTAGTTAGTGACTACATACATACATAATATAGTTACATAGTAGGTATGGATGGCTACCTAATGACAAAGTAGCTTTACTATTCCACTCCGAACACGGTATTACAATGAGTCATTACTTTTAAATAAAACATTGATCTCATGCTTTACTAGGTATTATCCCTGGTTGTATATTGGAAAGTGCTTTTTACCGCCTTTGTATACATATGAGAAGACATCTAAAAAAACCACCAAAAAAGACGCGACAAAGCCGCATAAACGGTCGACTATTTCATGTTTGATTAGATTAAATATTATGCTCATTCCTCCAATATGCGAAAAAAAATGTACCCCGATACCATACATGCTCCGCCAAACTCCATCTAAACAGGGTATATGGACAATGCAAGAAAAACAAACAACCAAAAAGAGTCCAGCAACAAATCCCCTCCAACATCAAGCAGACGCAAGCTCCACCCACTCGGGCGTCTTAATCCGCATCGCAGGATCCTTAACAACAGCCGGTTTAACAACCCGCTCAACAAACCCATTCCTCGGAACCCGACTCCCACTCATCCCAGACCTGGCGAAATCAATGATCTGATGCCCAGACCTAGCCATCTCCAACCGCAACCGATGATTCATATTAGGATAAAGCAACAAATCACCCGTTGCAACCGCAAGCAGCGTAGCCGCCAGCGAGAAGACATCCGACGCAGGCGTGGGCGCCATCTCCATTGACGTGAGCGAAGCAAGCATTTCCGGCGCCGTGAAGGGCGGCGTGAACGACGACATCGACGCGCGGGTCGTATCGACCGGCGCATCCGCGTGCGCGGGGATATCTACCGTGGCGGAGAAATCCGCGAAGAGAGGCTCGAACGGGAACTCGAGTGCATCGCTGCAGCCATCTGTGTCAATAGGGCGGAGGAGGATGTTGTGTGGTTTTATATCGCCGTGCACAACGCCAGCGACTTGATGCAGCCAGTTCAATCCGGCGATTAGCTTGCCCGCGAGCCGCTGGTACGAGGCTGGGCCCTGGACGGGCTCGAACATTGTTGCTGTTGCGGGCTGGCGGGTGCGCGCGAGCTTGGATTGGTCTTCGATGTATGTTGCCAGAGAGCTTGGGATGGCGGACATTACTAGTGCGCCTAGCTCGGCGTGGTAGCCGTGGAAGGGGACGATGTATTGTTCGTGGCCTTGGGTGAATGTGAGGCGGGTTTGGGTTGATGCTTCGGCGTTCAGGACTGGGCGCGCATCTCGGCGCAATGGTGCTTTCACGGCTAGCACTTGTGATCTTGTGGTTGGGGAGCTTGGGGGTGTGCCTAGGAGATTGGTTTGGGTGCGTGGCAATGAGCGCGCTTTGTATACTATGCTCCATACGCCACGGCCGAACTCGAGGGAGCGGTTGTTCTCGTCGTGGCAGATTTCGAGGTCGTCGGTGAATTGCAGAGTGTCCACATTGTCCTTGGAAATAGACGGCGTTTGCTTTGCCTTGGAGTCTTGGAATGGGCTTAGAGTTGATCTCGGGGGCCTTTCCTTGGCTATGGGAGTCACCGGTGGCGTGAGATTCGATGGGACTTGAGCAGATAGTGGTGGGCATTCGCCCTGGGCTGTCTGGAGCGACAATTGGAATGGGAGATTGGCCATAGTTTCGGTGCACAATATTGAGGGATTTGCGAGCAGAATCAGGGTCTATATGGTCTCGGGGAACGGCCGAGACTAGTGAAATCGTTCTGATATCAATAACGCCACCGGGACAGTTCGCGATAGGCAATTAAGCCTCAACCCACAGTTGGATCTATAATGATGACGGGGTGGCGAGATGCACGTTTTTATGAGATTGAGCCTATAGGCTGTAGAATATAGACATATAGACAAAGAATAACAACTGTTGGGAAATGGCCATGCTAAAAAGTAATCAAGCAAATAAAAAGCAAAGAAAAAAAAAAACAAAACCGGCCCACTTTGTCCGGTCTCGAACATAACAGGCAAAGAAATGATAGAGATACACAGAATACCCAAGATCGACCGTGACAGTAAAATACTACGGTGGCAGTGGAGTGCAAACGGGAAATTAATCTGGAGACTTCGGGTTGGTGCTGACACTCCACCAGTTCATTTCCTCATTTTGATTTTTAAGATTAGGGTGTGTTTATTATTTAGTTACTTATCTAGTTACTTATCTAGTAGGTTTTTTTTTTGTTAAATTAACTAGTTAAGTTAGAGTAATAGGACAATACGAAGTAAATAGGGTAAACAGTGTGACTATTGTGGATAGCTAAATGCAGCCGATGTACTCCGCATGCGTCTCAACGGCTGTCAACCTTTTATATTGGTTTATTTTTATTTTCAGTTTTATATCTGTATTTGTATTGATGTTTATTTTTGTATTTGTTTGACTATTTTATGAAAATCTTTACTCAATGCACTTTATCATACCTATGCGGTCATGTCTATGTACACTCAACGCGACATCCAATCCTTCGGCCTCGTGCTTCCCGCATGCACATGCAATCAACTGCAACCCTAGAATGCTCCCAGTCAGATTAACAATTATGTATTCCCATCCGAGTCTAAAATTCTATAAATCCTTTTGTACAAAATACTAATATACATAGTTATACACAGTCATACACAGTTATACACAGTGCCAATCCGGCCCTACTTGATCTTCAAGTTCATAAGCTCCTCCTCCCCTAGCTGGGCCTGGGTCATTGTGCCGCCTAGAGCTCGGCTGAACGCGACGATAGAAAGCTTCACCGAGAGCTTCTCGTATTTGATCGCAATATCCACCAGGGTTTGCGCGGAAAGAGTACGGAGTCGAACACCAGTCAAATCATAGTCCATGTTCTCCTGGTAGGTGAAAGCCGGGTCCGACGTCGAACCATCTGGCAAGGGCATCGGCCCACATCCAGGCTTGAGTCGTCTTTCGGCAAAGTTCGCGAGGCTTGGAATATCGTGCACATGACTATTGATAGTCTCCATCGGGAAAATCGTCTCAAGCAATTCGGCGACCGGCATCTTACCACGGAATCCCACAAAGGCCAGCAGTGCAAAATACCGGTCGAGGACTGGTTGTATCATTGGGCTCGGTAGGTCAAAGACCTTCTTCAGAGCGGGCGGGTTGGGGTTTGCTTCGAAATATATGAGTCCGCGCTCGCCCCCGCCCCCACGAGGATAAATCTCATCCGGGTGGATGTATAGGGGTTCAAATGGTCGTCGGTCATGTACCAGGTCGCCATCAACGAGATGGTTGGAGAGTCTAGCCAAGCGGGAATCATCGATTGAATGTTCATGTTTTTCCAACACCACAAAATGAAGACTTGAGCACAAAGTGGTATAGCTCGATTTGAGAGATACCATATGATCTTCCAGGGCCTTCAGACTCTCAACACTCTCCTTGGGATCCGCAGCCGCACGTGCAAATTTCCGGCCCACTTCGTCAAGCTCAAGTATTATATTGGCCAGCTTTTGGCGGAAGTGACTAAATTGATTGTCTCTGATCAGGTGTGTGAGTGATACTCCTCGCTTTCGAATTAATGCTTTGGCTTTAGGGTCTGTGGTGTGAAAGCCTGATTCGATACCCAGCTTATCTGCTTCCGCGATGTCCGCAAAGAGCTTCTTGAGATGTGCAGTATGCACTCGAGGCTGATATGGGAATTCTTTTCTCCCGCGGTGGGCAATTTGTGGCACCAGCTCAAGAGGAGGAAGCTCTCTGGTGGGTGGAGTGATAATGTTATTTGCTGCAGCTCTTTCAGCCACAAGCTTCCTGTTGTTGATTAAGTCATCCCAGCCCCGCCATTGATGAGAGCGTTCATTCTCGCCTGGACTAACAAGCTCTATGTTGTGCAAGCCTATAGTCTCCGCGAATACGCCAGTTCGTGTGCGCTCCATGGTGGACCGCGGTAACATATCTGAGACTTCGTTAAAGGGCATTGTGGCAAGGACTCGTACGGCCCCGTACAAATTCAATTCAGTTTGTTTCAAGCAACTATTCATGAAGCTGAGAAACCAGCGGCTGGGTTTGAAATGATCCGTCGTAGAGGTAGCATCAGGCAGATTAGCCAGGATGAGGAGTGTATCATTCTTTGGTATAATCCCAGAGCTTTGTCGGTTTTCAGGGCCTTGTTCTGGAAGATGAGATGCGAAGAATTCGGGCCAATCAAATTTCCCATATATGGTATCGGTGACGAGCTTATAACACGGCTTGCTCTGGGCGAGCGGAATGAGAAGCTTGTGAAATTGAAGATTTGGTTCAACAAGTACATGGCGGCGTGGTTGAAGAAGTTCATTCACTTTAGATGACCAGAGACCACCCCCAGGCCAAAGGTCCAGAATGTCTACCGGTGGGTTTCGGCGAAGGTAGGGTGATACGCGCTCGAGAACATTATCTGCAAAGTTCAAAGCGCATAAGCATATTTGTACCCACTGTGTATCAGAGCTGAGACTCAAGAGACTTACCTAGTAGCCCTTCACTCACGTACTGTGGTCGAGCCTTGACTTTCCCGCGTTGTTTGGTGATCACTGGGTAAAGCTTCGCGGTCATCGGAAACCGAGCCAACGGCTTTCGTTGTGCGGTGACTTGTCTCATTATTTAGGATCTGGCAAATGCCAAGGTGGATCGTGAGTGTGGCATGGGTGGAGGATTGAAGGAGATATCGTGAGCGTTGTAGAATTTCCATTGCATTTTATTTTATTTTTGACGTCGGGGAGCGGAGAGCGGAGAGACCAAGCTACCCGCTCTCATCCCACCTCTTCTCCCCTCACCAGGTTTATCTTCCAGGTCGCCTAGATGCGGCTCCTACAATTGCCGCTGGTCTTTCCAGGTGTCGGAGATCCCTATCATCTCACTATGCTCGTTGAGGCTTGATCTACGCTTAAATTCATCATCTTGGCTTCCTAATCCTCGCCCACCCTTGCCTTAGCGTACATTTTTGCCATGGCTTCCAATGCGATGGGAGGCGCCACTGGAGGTACTGCCCCTCAAAGTGTTGAGCATATTACACGGATAGCACAGAATTATGAGTACAATTCTTCCGTTCCATTGCGATATTGGCTGAGGACTGCCGCGACGCTTTTACGTGAGGTTTGTTATACCTGTTGCCTGCACTTGGATCACGACTACTTTCAGGCTTGCTAACTTTTCTCAACCTGTTAGGCCCGCATATACGAACGCGAAGGACACGATGAGCAGGCCTATCTCATTCTATTTAGACACGCTCAGTTGGTCCTGGTCCATCTTTCCAAGCACCCCGATACCAAAAAAAACGAGGAAGATCGCAAGGCCTTGGTGGCAGCCGAGAAAGAGGTTGAGAAAAACCTCAGCAAGCTGGAGATTCTGAGGCCACGCATCAATAAGCGGTATGAGCGTTACACTCAGTTAATTCGGGAGCGCGAATCTCGGAAACAGCCCTCACGAGCCAAAATCTTCGCCGAACCACGAGAACAAATCGCCGATCCCGCTCTCGCCGGCGTGGCAGAGCCTTTGGAAGCTGGAGAGAATCGAGACCTCGCCGTACAGTTAGCCCAGTCAGAGCTCAACCGCCGAGCCACCGTTCGAGGCTCAAAGGGTCTTTCTGGGCCATCTGCCGAAGAGCTGGAAACTCGTCGCGCAGCTGGCGTATGGGGGGACTGGGACCATTCTATGAAATCAGAACCTCGTGCAGGTGATAACGACCTCAGTCGACGTGTTCAGAACATCAGGCCCAACCTCGATCACACAGACCAACCTTATGGCCAACGTGTCAAAGAGTCCGAGGTTCCTTCGTCAGCCGCTTCTGCGTACAAGTATCCAACTGTGCCGCGCCAGAAGCCCCTGGAGCCCACGGTGTCTCCAGGCCAAATTGCCATCGTCGACAAGAACGCCGAACGCCACGCGCCTCCGATATTACCTCCGAAGGAACACCTTGAGCCTAGCCGAGCATCTATTGTCGATGATTCTGCAACAGCCGTAGTGCCATCGCGGCCGGCGAAGGTATTGCCAGGTCCGGCGCTTCCTGCGAAGATCCAACCTTCCGAAGAAACCACCGCCACACGCCCAGATCTCAATCCCTCAAGTTACACCTTCAAACCCTCAGCCTATCTCGAAAATGGCACTCCCTTGCGTTCGGTATTTTTACCAGCGAACCTCCGATCCCGCTTCTTATCTATGGCTGCTCCTAATACCCGCGCCAACCTTGAGACATGCGGTATCCTGTGTGGTACCCTTGTTTCCAACGCCCTCTTCATATCCAAGCTGGTCATTCCCGAGCAGACAGCGACATCAGACACCTGCGAAACGGTTAATGAATCCGCTCTTTTCGATTACTGTGACTCCGAGGATTTGATGACGCTCGGCTGGATCCACACACATCCGTCACAGACCTGTTTCATGAGCTCCCGTGATCTACACACGCACTGCGGCTACCAAGTGATGCTGCCTGAGAGCATTGCCATTGTGTGCGCTCCAAGCAAAACCCCTGATTGGGGCGTATTCCGATTGACTGATCCCCCGGGTCTAAAAACGGTTCTGAATTGCCACCAGACTGGTCTGTTCCATCCACATGCCGAGGAGAATATCTACACTGGGGCCTTGCGGCCAGGACATGTCTTCGAAGTCAGTGGCTTAGAATTTGAGATGGTGGATCTTCGTCCGGACGCCTTGAAGAACTAATTGCCTTGCGTTTGAATTGTTCAATACACACTAAGATACCATCATCGTCTGCATTGATCTGGCTTTTTGATGTGACATTTCATATCACCAAGTTTCTGCTCTAGAAGGGTCATGGCATTGCCAATTATGTCAATAGCGTTGAATCTAGCTACTTATGTGCTTCCAATTGAAACATTTTTTTTCTAGTCTATATTAACGACATGAGCACGTTGTTGATGGATTATACTTGGATCTATAGTAAAGTTCAGCCTTATTTTGACCAACTTTATGATCTCAGCAACATTTGTAGTGTACCTAGATACAAATATGCAGGACAATTGCTACTTACGTATGTATTTGATCTGAAATAAATATAATTAATACTAATAGCCAAGAACTTCTCTCGTAATCTTGCCACGCCTTACAAGGATGCCCAGGTGCGACAGCTTGGCTCATTTCCCCACATGATAAGTGATAACCATCTCAACTTTCACTCCACATTTGTACTTACTTCTACACTTCAGTGCCCAACACCTTCGTCAATTGATTTGAATTGCTCGCATGTCGTCCTCGTCACAAGAAAATATCCCCTCCGACACCCCCACCTCCTCCACCTCCACCGCGGGATCAACATCCCAGACACCCACCGAAAAACCACCCTACCAATCCGCCGCCTCCTACCTCTCCTACCCAGTCAGCCACGTTGTCTCAGGACTCTACCGCCGCATAACAGACCCGGACCTAGCCAAAGAAATGCCCTCCATCATGCCCTGGTCGCGGTCCTCCTCCTCATCCGAAGTCTTCACACCGCGCCGAACAGCCTCACCCTTCCAACCACCACCACTCACACCCCTCACCCTTGAAATCCCTGGGGCCGACCTCCTCCAGCAGCAACTCCTAACACGCGCACTAGCAGAAGAAATCCGCCTGCTAGTGCCGCCCCGCCTCCAACTAGCCGAAAACTGGCGTTTAGCCTACAGCCTCGACCGCGACGGCGCCTCCCTCTCCACCCTCTACGAGAACTGCGCCGAGTTCTCGCACCGCAGCCCGCGGGCGGGCTACGTCCTCGTAATCCGCGACTCCTCCCCCTCCAGCTCCGTCTTCGGCGCCTACATGACAGACGCCCCACACCCGAGCACGCAGTTCTTCGGCACAGGGGAGTGTTTCCTCTGGCGCGCCAGTGTGCTCCCGCCGCCCGCAAGCTTCCCCCTCGCCCTATCAGGCGAAGGACCCCAGTCCGAGGAAGCCCTTGAGCGCGCTGGCCTCCCCCCTCCCCCCTCCGCGGATACAACCACCGCCGGCCGATGGAGTACCCTCCGGAACGACAAGTCGAAACCTGCGCGGGCGGAATCGCCGGCTCACAATCTCAATATGAATATTAAAACTAATCTCGCCGCTGCGAGCGGTGGAGTTCTGGCGCCTCCCTCGCCTTCTTCGATCCATACCCCTTCGCGCAGCGGGGCGAGTACCCCCGAACGCATTCGCTTCAAAGCTTTCCCGTACAGTGGGGTTAATGATTATATGATCTTCTGTGAAACTGGATTTGTCAGTCTAGGAGGCGGGTATGTGGTTTATTTTGCTGAAAGGGTATTGTTATTGTTCTTGGCTAATATATGGGATAGTGACGGCCACTACGGATTGTGGCTTGACAACAGTCTCGAAAAGGGTGTCAGTGCATCCTGCCAGACCTTTGGCAACGAGCCTCTTTCTGACGAAGGTGTCAAGTTTGATGTCCTTGGTGTGGAGGTGTGGTATGTTGGTTCTTAAACAACCGTATCTGTATAGCCTCGTACCTTGCACTGGATGTATAAAGGACCTGTCTGTGTCAGGGAGGATATACGTATTGAGGGGTCATTTATTTCGATATAGACAGGGCCGACAGGAGCGGACTTTGGCATTCATCGAGATAGAATACCCGCATACCAAAGGAAAATGGGGTTTCAAATACCCAGACGGCGATGTGGTGCTGGACTCTCTGCATTGTTGATTTTGATTGTCATTTCCCTTAATTTACTGCTTATTTCATGCATCTCTTGCGTAATGGTCTATGTCTCCAGATGTCGTGGTAGGACTATGGGGACATAAAGAAGTTTGATAGAACAACAATTTACACAAACAGTTTTCAAGCTATCATTACAAGCTAGATGGTTTTTTTTTTTTTGGTTTTTGGTCTTTTTCAGCAGCAATTCCTCCATCTCACACATACATGTATCCTAGATTGAAGCAACGTGGTCTTCAACCTGTAGATCTCCATATGATTCCCTCCCCATCTTCACTTTTTTTCGGATTTTCCTTCGTGTTCCGTAATGTCGACTTTTTGCAATTCTCAAGGCAAAGCTGGTGATCTGATCGTTGCTTGATCCAGACTTCCTTCAATCGCTCTGGCAAGACGTCGTGCTGCTGTTTGTCTGGGTGTCTCGCGGCCGAACTCATAGTCCGTCAATCGCAGCTCCTATATCGCAGTCAGTGACTACTCAAATCGATAAATGTGAGCTCTTCTTACCTCTGGTGACCAATACTTGTATCGATCGTGGAAACAAATTGAATGGTATCGATTGTTGAACGTGCCGGTATCGCGAGCTTCCTTCTCCTCCCTGTACCAATTCCTATCGAGTAATCAAACCATATTGGCCACTTTCCCACACAAGAACAAGAATTCAGATCAAGGCCGTATACTTACCGATCGTGGTCACGCGTGTCTGGTGTACGGGATGGAACGGGTCGAGTAGGCGGGGACCAGAACGTGCTAGGTGTAAATGTGGAAAGCGGAAGTGTAGCCCCGGAGAATGCAGGTGCACCGGAAGCGCCAGAGCTTGGATTGGGGTTCGCAATCGAGAAAGATGCAGATGGAGCACTCACTGTGCCAGAATTGACCGTACCGGGATTCAAGCCGAATGGACCACTGGGGCGAGGCGTGATTGAACTCTGCACGTCGGACGTCGAGCTGTATGGCCACGAAAGTTGATACCTGGGAGTACTGTTCTGGCCTTGAACTGTAGAATCCACACATAGTACCCCGAAAGGGTTGGCAGATGCACCATTGCACAGAATACCTTGAGGCATGAGGAATGATTGGACATTTGAGCACCCATCAGCCGAACCTGATCCGGGCTGGTTGATTGTTCCAATAGATGGCGTTGTTTCCTTCGCAACATTGAATCGACTCAATGCTCGCAGCCCAGTTTGCAATTTCTCCACCTCACGAGTCAGATGGCCTTGCCAATGTTGCACACCATCGTGTACACCAGCGAAAAGTTGCTCAATTTGGCTGTCGTCCATTTTGGTGACTGTCTGGGTTGTGAAGACGCCATTCAGAGGACCGAGAAGGCAATTCTCGATCCCAAGATTTGCAATGTTGTCAATGAAGATCAAAAGCGCGTTCTACTTCTCGTCAGTATCTTGCAGACAATAAGACAATATGGTCATTGGTTATTTATCATTAACTCACGTTGTAGTACGATTGAAACTGGTCAACGATGTCCGAGGCTGCGAACGGATTGCTGGATGATTCCATGTTCTGAGTCGCTGCCTTAAGCTCTTCCATAGTGACGGTATTGTTCAAAGTTGAAGGAAGGTTTCGTTGGAGGTTGGCAAACAGGCGATCATTTCTCGATTTCTGCATCTTGGCAAGGAAACTTCGATCAAGAGGCAATGGATGACCTCGAAGGAAGCTACGACTCATAGGCAATGGGTGGCCTCGCTTGTGGGAAGCACTCAACTCATCTACCTTCGCCAGTAGACTGCTTTTCATTCTGTCAAGATGAGGCGAAATGATAGTTCGCATTATCACAGCAGACGTGTGTTCATCCGTAAGATAGTCCAGCAGAAGCGACACAAAGTCTCGGGTGGACTCCCATGATTTCAACAAATGGGCTCGAGCAATTTCCTCCCAAGGCTGCGACTGGTCCCGGAAGAGGCTACCAACCACTAGCTGACTGGCGTTTCCTGGGAATTCAACTCCTCTGCCGCGGGAAATTCGTCTAATGACCTCGAGTTCGAAATTTGAGCGGCTCCTGTGTTCCGGCTGTCTGATATTTGTGTAAGGGTTGCAAGGGTTTGGCAACGAAATTATCTGATTGCTGACCCCATGAATGAATTGACGGCTCCCGGAAATTTCCATAACATCTGCAAAATCTTCGTTCAAGTCACGAACGATAGCACGAAGACGTCGAGGGTCGTGAGTCTTGGATTCATCATCATCCATTCGGGTAGCAAAGAAGTCGTCGGTGTACATGCCACTCAATGCTTGTTCGGTTATGCGCTGGAAAGCACTGCTCAGATTGAAAAGGAATGCTTTCTGTTGATGAACAGTCGCTCGGGGAACACTTAGCTTGGCCAGCCCCGATTGGCTCTTCATAATGCTTTTATCGATTTCAGAAACCAGACCTGGGAGGCTGCTTCGAACTTGATTCACAAAAAGAGTACTCAGTCGACGCCGGAGGTTGCTAGTCCCTATGAATTGTTTTGCCACAGTTTTCCAATCTCCGCTGTCGAAGAAATCCTTCTCCTTCTCGTCTCTCTCTTCGTCTGGCACATCTCGTGTCTCGTATGATCGGGTGCACACCAAATGCAAGCCCAGCGGCCGTTTGGACATTTCCTCTTTGACAGCCTTCAACCATAACTTCTCCTCGTCTGATGATGCTTCGAGTGTATCGAGATGGGTGATAATTCCTAGGATCCGCTTTCGCTCCCGATCATACTTGTCAGCAAAATCGTTGATCTTTTGACCACAAATGTCGATTTTGGCCGATACCACAGTGAGGATGATGGTGCGTGCATTCAGCACGTACTTTTCAATGCGAAGACGGCCATGACTCTTCTCTCGATCTTCGATGTCCAGGCCTTCTGTGAAGTAAAGCCTAGGCATATCGATAAGGGTCAGATCAGGTTGATCGGGACCAGAAATCTCGACTTTCATCACATCGTCGCTGAATCCATCCTCGGCAGAGGGTTTAATAAATTCCGTAGCTTGCTCAATCAGTGACACTGACTGCTCAGTACTGTCATGAACAGAGGGCACAAATTCCTTGAGTTGCTGGATGTCTACGTCGTTTTTCTTCGATGGACCAGGTTGGATGCTCACTTTGAAGCGGGGAGTTGGATGGCGGCGTAATATGATCTCCGTAACAAACCCAGTGTAAAAGTCATTCCTCACTGGAAAGCCCACGCGAGAAATTGCCTCGATAATAGAGCGCTTGGCGTTTGACTTGGAACCACAAATAATCATCTGCGGCAAGTCAACGAGCTCACCGACACCAAGGCCTCGTAGTTTATCGATCGTATCAAGAAGGGGGGCTTGATTTGTCTGTCGCTGAGGCAGAGCCCCGTCGGGCTCGGCTGGAGCAGACATGGTAAGATTTAGATGTAGCAGATAGGTAGCAGGTAGAAATAAAGATAGAATGAGTCGCATGTGGTTGAATGTAGAAAGGATAAAGAAGATGGGAAGATGGGAAGACGGGAGGATGGGAGGAAGCAAAAAGAGAACGGAAGAAACCTTGGAAGAAGAATGCATCTTATATTGGAGCAAACGACCGCCTCAGGCTAGCTAAAGTAAACGTCAACAAAGCCTCAAACGATCGTCATGGCGATGGCATCTATCGACGTGTTATTGCGTGCCTGTATAAACATCTACCTTCATACCTTCTCTACTGCCATAGTATCATTCAGCACCCTCTTAGTTGAAGCTGTTAATCATCTATTCCAATCCTCTGCTGTCCAACCACGAAGAACATCAGGCTTGTTGCTCAGGCTCTTAGACCTCTGTTTGCTTTACCTTCCTTTGTTATCTGTATATATAACCTGTACCTATGGTGCTTAGCTTCAATCAAAGATCATGGGTGATATACGTCTTCTTCTCACCCCCTCTATTTTTATATAGACAGGACAGGACCCCTTTACCTTGACACACTTGCTGGCTTTTTGTCCTCAGTCATTAAATCCAAGGGCAGAGTATAAATGAGCAGCTTGGAACCTATATCTCACATGGGAGAATCGGACGGTGCCAGACAACACGCAGATGAGCATTTTCCCAAGTATAGATGGATATGCCAGTACGATCGATGCCTTGCTCAAATATACGGTAGGAAGCAGTCATGAGTTAGCGCCTTAGCCCATTATATGATGTATGTTTAGCCAGGACACTTTCAAAAGGGGGAATGCGAACCTTTAAAGGTAGGTAATATAAAGAACAACTGAGTATTGGCTAATGGGAACAATAGGTCTCGAATTCGCTCTCCAGTGGGAACATCAAAGCCGAGGGTGAACCGTTAGTAAAGGTCAAAGAAGCTAGAGACGGTGATTACGGGAGTGAAGCCGAGGACGACGAGGTTAAGAATTCTAAGGATGTTAGACCGACCACGGAGTCGGTAGCTACGTGGCTGGGCAGTCTGCCAAAAGGCCAAAAGATTATCAGCGAAGTTATGACATACAAGATATTGTTGCCTCATGCCCCTAATGTGTGCACTCAAAATTGCTCCGCTGCTGTGAGGGTATTAGAGGAAGATACAGAGATTTCTTATGGATCGGATGGGTCAGGCGTTGCTTTTCTCGTTTCCATTTGGGGACGAGAATCCAGGCATCGAGGAGCTCTATCCTAATTCGATGATTTCTTATTTGAGAGGTGTTAATTTAATAATCCCAGCCTGGTCTTCAAATTGTCTCAGTCATTGAACCAGGTTCAGATGTGGACAGATGTAGAAGGGCGGCGATTGGTAGAAGTCCTCATCAGTAAATAAGCGCCTGGTGAAGATCCTACAATGAAAGTTCCATGTTGCTACCAACCCGCTTTCGTGTGACCTAAGCTCTATGGTAGTCGATATGGTTATCATAGAATGGCTAGTGGTCCTGTATATGTGTTGAAGGGGCTGGTTTGTTTCCTGCGAGTAAGAATCGAAGTGTAGGACACCGTTGGGACCCCAGGTATCGCTTCGTTGTGCCGGCCCTTACAAGTATTTGAAAAGACGACATTGATCGGTTGGTGTAAGGGCAAGACAAGGACATATTCGCAGTGACCCCTCGCTATGTCTACACAATGCGGGATTGGCGTCCAGAAGTGGGCGTAGAGAAAGCATCCATCGATAATTTGATTCTGAGGGGTGTAGATACCAGCAGAGTTGACAGTAAGTCCAATGCGGGCTCACGAGACGATGGAGAAACTCGGCTCGGGATCCCCCATAGGAGTCGCAGGTAATAAGGTACTATTGTTCATCTCGCGGTGGCCGGTGGTGCTCTATTCTCTTTGAAGTCGGTCGCTGCAGTAGTTCAGTCTCAAGCCCGCAGTCGCAACCGTATTGACCTACACAGAAATAGTAACTACCCATAGCAACGTCTTTATATATATAGGCTTCTAATTCTCAAGGCTGCGTGCAAATTTACGTCCAAAATCTTGCCGTGGACTTCATTGCTGGTTGTGCTATCTTTGGCCCAAAACTCTCCAAAACTTCTGTGATTTAGGCGGCCCTCGTCTTGTATTAACTGGAAACATATCTGCTATGAGAGTTTTTTCACCTCTCTTGATTTCATTCTTTGGGGGCTCTCATCCGAAATCCCGAAGACAAGTACATGTATACACTTCTTCTCAACAGCTTTAGGAGCTCGCCGCCCTCTCCAGCAGCCCCCTATCAAAGTAACATTTTATTTGCCAAATTTGTAGGCCATCCGTGCCGGATCCTTCCTCAGATTCGGCAATCTCATAGACAAAGGCTTGGGGCAGCGGTACTATTCCCTTTCCATCTTTGAGATGCAAGTTGTTCGTAGTCTCCACAATGGCGGTATGCTTGCCAGATGTTTCATCACTCAAAACAACGATTGAGATTAAGTCGTGCGCACAACGCTCGAATTGTCCGTAGAGATCGATGTAGTAGTTCCAAATCTCTTTGGCCCCACAGATGACAGATCGATCAGTGTTCACCAGGGTCGCGGTAGACGCGTAGTATTTGGTCGGGGGTGTGGTGGTTTTGGCGATGCTGAAGTCCACCGCATATTTTGTGTACCATGAGAGAATTGGGTTGGTCGAGAATACTGAGGGTGGGTTGGCGAGATTTAAAGGCCCTTTGACCACGGTGGTAGTGACGCTCATGGTTAAGAGTATGATCAATCGAAGAATAGACTGTGATGAATGGATGAAAATTGTAAGAGAGCAAGAACAGTTCAAATTATTACTTTCTAATAAAAAATACTATGACGTTAAGAGGCCAGTATAAAGTGGAAGCTTATCATAAATATTACCTTGTAAACGGCTAGTTATGTACATAACTATTATAACGGGTTGATACCTCGGAGAATCCGACCTCGGGTTGCTCCCGAGGTCGCGAAGAACTACCCAACCGGCCCTTACATTATTTTTGCAAAAATTACAGACCCTCGTCCGCGGGGCATAGCGGCCAAAGGCTGGAGGCCTGATTTTCAGGGGTGCCTAAATAACATTAATGCCGGGATTTGATGAATCTGAGGATTTGTGTGGTGGGAATAGCTTCGAAAGCGGTCTGAAATCAAGTATAATTCAGGCATGATTCAGGCAGCAACACTGAAAAATTAGGCCTCAGGCCTCCGGCCTTTGGCCGCTACACAGCCACCCAAATGACACATGTTTTTTCAATTCCACCATTTCACTTTGATCCCAAACCACACCAACAATGCCTAAATCCAATAAAGATATAGAGAATCAGATTCTAAAAGCTCTTGACTCGCTCTCGGAGCAAACCAAGCCTAACATCGCCAAAACTGCGCGAGAATTCGGGGTTCCTGCAACTCGCCTTCGTCGGCGCTTGAAAGGTGGAAAATCGCTCTTTGAACGACAACCCAATGGCCGGAAGCTTAACTCTGTACAAGAGAAGGCTTTGTGTGAATACATTGACGCGATCGGAGCATCAATAACTCGTCAGCAAATTACTATTGCCGCCAATTCGATTCTTGAAAAAGACCACCATGACGAAACCACACCACCCCCACAAATTGGCGATCACTGGCTACAACGTTTTCTTAAACGTAATCCTGAATACAATGTACGATGCCGGCGAGTCTCCGATCGGCGAGCTCTCGACGTTGAAAGAATAAGAAGCATTAGCCCTCGTCTCACTCAGGACGATCCCACCACTCAACGCCTCAAAGAAGGGTTAGCAAAGCTTGCGAAGGGTGCTGAGGCACAGGCTGCTTTAGCTCTCCAGCTACGGCGGGAATTGGATTCAATGCAAGCGATTATGGGGGTGCGCCACGCCCAGCATGACGCTTCTCGTCGTCATTTACGAATCACCGGTATCATCAATTCAAACCAACTCGAAGAAATCAAACGAATGGAGTATGAAATGAGCGAAAAAGCCGACCAAGAAAAAACGAAGCGGAAGTGGAAGAAGGTGTTGATTGAAATTAGGAAACATGGAAGGGCCAAGAAACGTTCTGGGAATTGATTTTTTGTTTGTATATTAGTAGTATTGTATCTAATTGATCTATTATCTATTTAAAATTAATTAATATGCTACGTGGTGGTGTATGAAATGGTGGTTGAAGCAAAATGTATAAAAGGAACTATCATTTGGGTGGCAGACCCGACCCTCCGTAAAGAGGGCCTGTAATCTTTGTAAAAATCATGTAAGGGCCGGCCACCATCTAGCAATACTAAGTATAAAAATAGCTGTAATGTAGTAAAATCGATTGATACCACACTCCTTACAGCAGCTCTTAGTGCTACAGTAGTATTGTCGACATCACAGTATTTACTAGCATCTTACTCAAGATACGTAGCGCTACTTAAAATTGGTAGCGGCTATGTAGCAACTACTGACAGAAATATGCAGCACGACAATATATAGTACCATTTAGTGGTATAGAACTCTCTAACTAGAATGGCAAAATTAAGAATTTTAACGGACATGCTAACAAACAATAATATACACTTTTACATAGGATCTATAGTCATGATTTTTTGAGTAAAATACCCTATATCCATATATTCAATCTCGATATTCGACGATCATCATTAAAAGTAAAGAAATTGACTCGTTACATAGCCCTACGAGTGCTGAACGCTGCCGTCGCCGCGCATACGCCTAATGGCACCCGCTGGAGGATTACGAGGAAACCATTACTTGTTACCGCAGCATCCGGCATAGTCTGCTCAGATCAGTATTTCTGCCTTCGAGGTTGTTTCCCGGGGGATAAGCCTTACATCTCAAGATGCTGACTGCTTGTGGTAGCTCATACCCACGGAACAGCTTGACAGGCTTCACGTTACACACTCCTTCCAAATAAGCGAGTGCTTTGCCGGCATCTCGCTCTATAAGACCAGCGAATTTGTGTAAGGTACCAGGAAATAGTGACCCAGCTTGGAAATGCAACGCGTGTGGCGGTAACTGCGGTGTCGACATCCTGCTCAACTGCTCGATGCAGGATGCAGGATGCAAGCGAAGGTGGCGGCCCTAAGTGGGTTAGTAGTGTACAAAGTACGATATCTCAACTTAGCGCCAGACCACGATCCACAATGCCAGCCAGCCACAAACTACTGTACCACCCAATTTCAGGGCTGTCGAGTATTCACCGTCTTGTGTGTGGGTCGATCGGTCTATGTTGTACAGCATCGAGCACTAATATCTGCATTCATTGGAGAATCTCCCGACCAACCGGAATCTCAATGATTATTGTTGATTACCCTACTTAGCTTCCATGGAACCATGTGGTGCTTTCTTTCTTTTCTTATTCTTGACCTATCCTTTAACCCCGCCCAAGTAGGATAGCTAGGTCGCTTTTGTTATAGGAATCGTGTCGTGATGGATCTTGCTCGGAATTCCCAGGCTCTCTTAGCCTTGGGTAGTGGTGTTACTCTCCACCATCTGTTCTACCGCTTGAGCGAATGGGATACGAGATCTCCATTTCTGTTGGTTTCGTATATTTTTGCCTTGGTCGCTGGGAGTGTCGGCATTTGGCTTCTAAGCAGCCGAACGGAAGTTGTCGTCCCATTCTCCCCAAATGAATTCCGAAGGTTTTGGCTTTATCACATCCTCGGTGTCTACAGCAGCATGCTGGTCTACCGGGGATTCTTCCACAGACTGGGAAAATTTCCTGGTCCTTTCCTTGCGCGCTTGTCCAACGTCTATCTGACAATGATGTCTTCCAAACTTCATCTCTACGAGGAGATTGGCAAGCTTCATGAGACATATGGGGACTATGTTCGAACAGGTAATGCGACAACTCTTCTTTTGCGGAGTATACTTTCTAAGTACTCCTCGAATTTAGGTCCGACCGAACTCTCAATCACAGATCCTGCAGCAGTCCAGGCGATTTATAGTATCCAGTCCAAGGCTACGAAAGGCCCTTGGTATACATTGCTCGACCCACGAGTTTGCCTATCCTTCACCAGAGACAAGCAAGAACATGCGCGCCGCCGGAAAGTTTGGGATCGGGGATTTAGTACCAAGGGTAATATCTATTTGGATCATTCAACGAAGAATGTACACTAACCTCAAACTCCCGTTAGCAATCCGCGCCTATGAACCAGTCGTTGCAGGATACGCCCAGCAACTTGTGGAAGTTGTGGAGCGAGACCTTGCCAGTCCAATTGATATGACGCGGTGGTTCAGCTACTATGCGTTTGATGTGATGGGAAGGCTGGCTTTTGGAAAATCATTCAATATGATTGCCGAAGGCAAAGAGGCTTATTTTCTGAAGACAATTCGGACGGATATGACAAACATTGGCCATCTTAAACACATGCCCTGGATATTCCCCATCGTCATGAATATTCCGCTCCTAAACGCAAACAACCAGAGGTTTTGGAAGTGGATTGAAAGCCAGTTCCTGGAAAGGAGTGCTGTAAGTGTTCGATAGTTCGATAGTTCGATAATTGGGTATAGACGCTAAGCTAATCCCTATTTATAGAAAGAACCAGAGCAGCGAGATATATTTTCTTGGATTCTTGATGAGTATAAGAAAGGGCCCCAGTCACCCCAAGATACGCTTAACCTCCATGGAGATGGCTATTTAATTATTGTGGCGGGAAGGTGAGAAACTAGAAACTCTTGATTCCTTTGAATGTTCCCCTTTGTTTACCCTGACTAGTGACACGACTTCTACAATTCTATCACATCTTTGGTTCCATCTTGCCAGTGACCAGGCTTTAGTTCAAAGGCTTCAGAAGGAGATTGACGAACTAAAGGAGCTGAACGATGATACGATCTCCAAGATCGATCTTCTTGATGCCGCAATTCACGAGACCCTTAGATTGCACCCAGCGGTTCCTTCTGGTCTTCAGAGACTCACACCACCACAGGGTATGACCATTGGCAATACATATGTTCCTGGAAACACTATTGTCCAAGTGCCTTTATATACAATGTTCAGAGGTCAGTTCATTTATGGGTCCAAGCCTTTATCAGGCTCTAATTTAGTCTTACCAGACCCACGGGCGTTCGAGAGTCCAAACGAGTTCATTGCGGAACGCTGGACTACCAATCCCGAACTTGTCAAGGATAGATCCGTGTACATTCCATTCAATATAGGTCAGTTGTGGTGGTGTATACATGATTATAACTGTGCTTATCAAATCATAGGACCGTGGGCCTGTGTTGGTAAGCGGCTTGCACTCATGGAGCTCCGGCGAGTGACTGCAGAGCTCCTTCTTCGGTACGACATTTCCTTTGCTCCAGGCAAAGTCAACGATGCCTTTTTAATGGACGGGAAAGATACGTTTACCCTTACTGCTGCACCGCTATTATTGAACTTCATCAAGAGGCAGTAAGCTACAACTGGAGCCGAGATAGCTATATCTAAACTATATCTTACTTATTTTACATGGTGTGAAACTGTTGTCCAGTTACCAGCCATGAAGTCGACGCTAAATACCAATATGCAAGTGTGCGACAACCTTGGAACAAGTTCCTGAAGCAAAGGAATTCTAACATAAAAGCTAAGGATACTAGTCACAAATAGTAGTTAGCGAGCAATGAGTACACATAACTAGAAAGCCGGTGGGGCGAGTTTCTTAGCAGATGCCCTTACGAAATGCAGTAAGCAACGCACGCGCTTTCTCGCGCTCTTATGATATGTGCATTGCTTTTTAGCCTCATAGCCCCGCAAATAGCAGTCCGACACGTATTAGCGGCTTCAGCTGCCCCGCGGCCGACGTTCCATAGTCACCATTTTGCTTTAAAGCGCCCAAGTGATCAGTATCATCGTGATTTTGTCTGATATACATCAAGTTACTCGAAATACGCCTCGCACGACTGTGTCGTCCCAATTTTAAATAGATGGATCCGTTCAGCATCACCGCTGGTGCTATTGGAATTACAGGTTTCGCTTTATCCAGCATCAGTAATCTTCGGCGTATTATCGATGGCCTTGAGGAAGCAAACGATGTGATGCAGGATGTTACATCCAACTTAGAAGCCATACAGCTTCCGCTTTCCGCTCTCGAGAATCTTCGGATTTCCGATAGAACAACCTGTGACGAAACGAAAGAGGATTTGAAGAAGACTGGGGTCGCTGAAGCCGTGAATAACTGTGGGCAGGCATGCGCGGGGTTTTCAAAGAAACTTGAGCAGTGGACGAAGCATTCCAATACTACGAAGCTTTCCCTCAGGGATCGACTATCAGTCGGCTTGTGGAACAAGGAAAAAATTCAGACATTCAGGACGCAGGTTCTTTCTTGTCAGGCTATCGTCCAGTTCGCCATAGACAGCGCCCACTTGTACGTGATTAAGTTTTATGCTAGAGAAAATGTACTAATATATTGATTCAAGGCTTATCCTGGTCCGATCCGAAAGTGCGTCTAAAACTGCTCGGCAAGATACAGAGAAGCAGCTTCGAGTTCTCGACGCTGCTATCAAGGAGCATATCGAACTCACAAAGAGAAAGCAAGACGAAACCTTGCGACGCAAGAAGGAACTTGAAAGTCCCGGGGACGAAGATGAGGATGAGGACGGCGGCGCTCAGCGAACTCTAGCGATCCAAGAGACTGAAGAGCAATCACGCGTACTGCAAGCCGAGCAAACTGCCTCTAGGACTGTGTCCCAAATACTTTCGAAATTATCCGTCCCGCAGGTCACCAACACATACCACACTGATTTTTCAGGTAGCCACAATATGGGCTTCCAGTTCGGTCACAATACCGGTACGATCAATTGGACTAGTGGTCGCAGCTAAGAGAGCATTATTCGGATTTGTACTCCCGGTTGGGCCATGCGTTGAGCCGAGCATTAGGAAACGTGACTTGGCGATCTCGCAGTTCCTGGGAGCTTGTTGGGCATCTGAAACCTGCAGGCCTCAAAAATGGCGCTTGCAAGGACTGGGGCATCATATGCTAGCTCGCCTATGGCAATAACCAGCTTGTGACCTTGTATTTCTTGTACTGTGCATTTGGGGCAGTTGGTAGCGGTAGGCTCTTGCAGTACTTTAAAGTGATTATGTCAAAGCCTGCTCTTATCTGGGGGGATATGGCTGGTTATCAAGTATTGCGCTTGATCTTACATAGTGTTGCATGATCCCATCTTCCATGGGTGCCTGAGTATACCGGGTTTTTTGTTAGCTTTAGGGTATAAATACCCTGCTCTCCATAGATTCAATGAATCACGATTCTTCTTCTTCTCTTTCCTCGATCTCTACAGCAGAAGCTGTAAACATAGTGTCCTGGCTCGCGTTGATCCAGTTCCCGGGAAGCTGGTAATCCCAATCTACGCAGGATCAACAGAATGCTCAACGTGAGCTGTCGGCCAATCTGATTCCCTATCTTAGCGCCGTGGAGTCACCTGATGTTGGACTCTGGGGCTGACGACGTGCCCCTCCCCTCCTACAGCTGAGAGTCAGACAAATAATCTTTCGCAAAAATACAAGGGACGTACGGTTATTTGATCATGGCAACGACATCATTCCGTGGCTACAACAAAGGTCTCCAGATTGGATTCAACAGTGGACCGATCAATCTGCCTCCAGGTGAGTCGGGCACTAGACACGACCCCGGGGTCAAGATCGACTGACTAACCGCCGCTTCTCACCCTTAGAGCGGCCGGAAACCCCACCCAACCCGTTATCGACTGTCCCATTCGCGCGAGACCAGCAGTTTGTCAGTCGTGACACGCTACTTCGTCGGATTCACGAGGAAAGCTTAGTCCCGGGGTCGAGGATAGCACTTGTTGGCTTTGGCGGTGTTGGGTGAGTGCATGTATAGGGCGGCTCTTACGTGATCTATTGCTTATAACTCGAAGGAAGTCGCAACTTGCTGTCGAATACTCCTACCAGGTCCGATCCCAATCGCCGGAAACATGGGTTTTCTGGGTGCATGCGAGTAACGAATCCCGGTTCGAGCAAAGCTTCCGGAACATCGCAGAACGTGTTAAAATCCCGGGTCGTCAGGATCCTACAGTGAATGTATTCGAACTCGTCGAGAACTGGCTCTGCGATGAGAAGAGAAAATGGGTTTGCATCGTTGATAATGTCGATGACGGTCAGCTTCTTTCGACGAGAAGCTCAGCAAGCGCCTCGAACAAACCATTCTTGGAGTATATTCCTAAAAGCCAAAATGGATATGTCATCATAACTAGTCGATCGAGAAAGGTAGCGTTAAGGATTGTCGATCATAAGGGCCTTGTTGAGGTTAAACCCATGGAAAGATCCGAAGCACTAGAGCTTCTCCAAAGAAAGCTTGAGCCAGCGGAAAGCCAAGGAAGTGAACAGTTAGTGAACGTGTTGGAGTTCATGCCGCTAGCGATCGTACAAGCCGCTAGCTATATTCGAAATCGGGCGCCACGCTGTTCGGTAGCACAATACCTGAGCGACTTCCAGAGGAGTGACCTTAAAGCGACAAAGCTTCTAAAAGAAGAGGCTGGTCACCATTACCGGGACTGGGAAGCAAAGAACTCAATTTTGGTGACGTGGCAAATGTCATTCGATCATATACGCCAAATCAAGCCATCTGCAGCAGATCTGCTTTCTCTTATGAGCTTTTTTGATCGACAAGGGATCTCAGAGAACCTTCTCCGGCATCAACCTACCGCCGATAACACATCAACCTCGGAGCTTAGTGACGGGGAGACATCTGAATCTGATATGGGCCCTGATTTTGAAGACGACGTCACAACACTAAGGGATTATTCATTTATATCTATTAGTGGGAGCAGCACCTTTACGATGCATCGGCTAGTGCAACTGACTACGCGCGCGTGGTTAAATTCTCATGGACAAATAGACCAATGGAGGGATAAATTCATTAGCACCTTATACGACGAGTTTCCTACCGGAGAATACGAAGATTGGGAGAGGTGCAGGCCACTCTTTCCTCATGTCAAATCCGCAATGTTACAACGGCCAACATCACCTGAGATTCAACTGCAATGGGCTACGTTACTTTATAAGGGTGCATGGTATGCGTTGAGAATCGGTAACATCGCGGATATAAGAGAAATGGCATCAAAATCAAGAGACCAAAGAAAGATTTTATTAGGTGATAAACACCAAGAATTTCTTGATAGCACAAACATGTTGGCAATAGGATACTGGTATGACGGTCGGTCCCAAGAGGCCGAGCAGCTCCAACTACAGCTGCTGGAGACGACTAGGACGAAGCTCGGCGAGGATCACCGCGACACGTTAACGGATATGGCCAACCTAGCAATGACGTATTTAAACCAGAACCGGTGGGAGGAGGCCGAGCAGCTCCAAGTGCAGGTGATGGAGACGAGAAAGGCGAAGTTCGGCGAGAATCATTCCGACACGATTTCGGCTATGGACCATCTAGCGGTAACGTTTATGAAGCAGGGCCGGTGGGATGAGGCCGAGCAGCTCCAAGTGCAGGTGATAGAGACGAGAAAGGCGAAGTTCGGCGAGGATCATCCCGACACGATTTCGGTTATGGCCAACCTAGCAATGACGTATTTAAACCAGAACCGGTGGGAGGAGGCCGAGCAGCTCCAAGTGCAGGCGATGGAGACGAGAAAGGCGAAGTTCGGCGCGGACCATCCTCAGACTCTTGGGGATATAGCCAACCTAGCGGTGATATACTGGAAGCAGGGCCGGTGGGATGAGGCCGAAGCGCTCCACGTGCAGTTGATGGAGACCCGTAAGACGAAGCTCGGCAAGGATCATCCCCACACGCTGGATACTATGTCTATTCTCGCTTCCACCTGGAAATATTTAGGTCGCGATGCTGAAGCCATCAATTTGCTTCGAGATTGCTTCGCCAAGCAGAAACAAATATTGGGCCTGAACCATACGGAGACTGTATATAGTTCCGAAAGATTGCTGGAATGGGAAACATCTCAACAAAAGGGCGCAAGAAGCGCAGTCAAACGATCGTTTTACAAGCTGGTAGCGAACTGGAGGAGAAGAAGATAAAGACAGAGAAATAGGAAGGAGAAGCCTTCTCTCCACAAACAAATAAGCAGTACCCAGTCTGAAGAATCAAGCACCAACAAGCAGGTGCCAACAATACGGACGGAAGTTCTAAATATGAATACCTATGTAAATAAGCAAGTTAGATACTTGAACATCACATGTTCACATACAATTTCTGCTTTATATCCATGTTAACTTCATAAAACGATCTTTCCCATCATATATTGCCTTAGGTGCGCACTGCTCGAGATGGATTGACCTTACCGCTTGGTGAACATTGCTGCCAAAAGGTTGAGGGCAAAGCTAAAGGAGAGTCGTTAACAAGCGAGCTAAGGGGCTGTGAGATGCCTGTATCCTTGACACAGGGAGTACTACAGATAATTTTCATAACCTCCTATCACATGATAATGTCTTCCAATACGATTCAATACTTGAAAACGAACCAAGTCAAAACATGGAAATGGATTGCATGTATCGGAATATGGTTGAAGGTATATTATTGTATGAGAGCAAAGTGGCGAAGCTGATCTCGATCCATCCTGTAGTGAGGCCCAAGGGTCCGTCATGAATAGATGGAAATTGTAAGAGCAAGAACATTCAAATTACTGCTTTCTGAAAGGAACATTGTGACACTAAAGGCCAAGACCAAGCGGAAGATCGGCACAAATATCAGTTTATGAACGGCCTCCTGGTTAACTATTATTAGGACTGTCGGGATTCCCAAGGTCAACAGCATTCAACATGAACGCTATAATTTGTCCTGGTATCGAAGCTGCTAATGGTGGATGGTGTTAGATAATTTATTATTAAAAAAGAAACGTGTCTGAGCTATATGAGAGACTAGATATACACCAATCTGAACAAAAGTATCAGGTCAAGAAATAAATAGAGACTGCTCTAGAGGAAGCATCGGCGAACCTGTGTACCATGAAGATCTTTGTAGCTCTCAAGGAGCTTTTACCTCAACAAGCAGTTTTCCTGTGAGATGTTTAGTATAAATGCATTGGATGTAGGGAGTAGGCACATGGCCCTCAAAAGCAAAGCTTACCTGTATTCATCCCATGATACAGTTGCATCAAGGCGGTTTCCGCTTGCGATAAACCCCCACGCACAATGGTTTCCCTCCGTTGCAACCGACCTTCCACAAGCCATTGACTGAGCTTCCGTCTGACTTCAGGTATCTTATCCAAATGATCAAAGATAAGGAAGCCTTCCATGCGAATCCGCATCGTCCATAGCATCGTGTAGTTCTTTGGCCCTTGAACCTCTTTTTCATTGTATTGACTGACACCACCGCACATGACAAATCGAGCGTTCTTGTTGGCGCAGAGAAGAGCTAAGTCAAGGACTTCTCCTCCGACATTGTCGTAAAAGATATCAATCTTTCCTTCCGTCAAACCTTTGAACTTTTGGGCGAAATCTTCGCTCTTGTAGTTCAACGCCCCATCAAATTTGAGATCATCAACTAACCAACGGCACTTCTCATCCGAACCAGTAATTCCGTACACCGTGGCACCGTGGATCTTTGCAATCTGTCCAGCAATAGACCCTACCGCTCCTGCTGCTCCAGAGACAACCACAAAGTCCCCGGGCTTGACATTGCCAACTTCGACCATGCCCACGTACGCAGTGATTCCTGTGAAGCCAAGGACACTTAAATAATCAGTTAAGCGGCCTCCATCCGTAGGATCAGGCGTAGGCACAGCTTGCAGGGACTCTTCGTTAGCAATTCCCTTCTCAGTCCAGCCCATCATAGTGAAAGCATAGGAGCCAACTGGAAACTTCTGTGACCGCGAGGCAGTCACACGTCCCAAAACATGGCCACGCATGATTTCGCCGATTGCAACTGGAGGGATGTACGATGGTACATCGTCCAACCAGCCACGCATCCCAGGATCCAGACTTAGATAAAGGCTTTCTAAGACAACATCTCCGTCTTGAAGTTCTGCTGGAGTGGGGGAAGGATGCTTTCGTATAGCAAAGGTCTCCCCAGGAACAATATTTCCCTCGGGGCGCTGTTGAAGATGGACTGCGATATGTTCGGAAGACATCTGTAGAAAACTTAACATGAATATGACGAAAATACAAGAAAAGCAAGCTCAATACGACCTCACCTGTTCAGATAATCGCTTATGCGATAGAAATATGTTTCAAAGAGTTGAGGTATTGTTGAACAAATTGTTGAATAGTACACAGAGGAACTATACTGTAACAGATGGAATAAATATTTCGCAAAGTGATTGGAACTATAGGAGTAGCGCCAGAAATGAACTTTAAAACTGTCTAATCTCTTCATACCTAGAAAGAAGCCCATATTTATAGATTTCTCTTCCTCCCCTGTAGATATGTTGTACAGAAACCCCTGAATATGGATTTGTAATGGTTTCAGCAAGGAGACAAAGAATGAGCGGTGACAGCACTATATGTTGGATTCTCCCAAATTCCATTGGCTCGAGCAGCCTGAATTGAAATGATTTCCTGCGATAAACATGATGCAAGTTTTATACAAAGAAAGAATAGGAATACTGGATTATGGAAACTTATAAGTATTCCTCTACTCCGTCGACAAGCCGTAGCATCCCCCATATCACCGAGCTACGGGCTCTTTTTGGTTGATCAACCCACCTAAGACCTCGGGAAAGCACCTCATATCCATTCTGATTGGCTGAAACTGAAAGTTGGTTTATAAATCAGACCTCGGAATCATCCGAGGATGATCTACGTCATAGGGCGTCCATAATAATAATGTTGAAGCACCATCCGCTTTACCCGTATATGGTATTAATTTTTTTCATTATCAGAAAGCTACTCATGGTATCTGTTATGCAGAACTATCGTAGCGAATTGGTACTGATTCCAAAGAGAGACATAGTACGAGTAGAGGTAACTCCGCGTTGATCGGATAGCTTCCAAGGTTGCTCTGTAAATATGTGCCTCAAGGGCCTGGCATCTGTAAGTACTTGGTAAACTTGAAATGTGTTCAGGTTCGTTCAATTTGTGCTCTGTTGTAACCGTGCCCAGATGGGTCCCGGTAATGTATATAAAGACTATGTACCATCACTCGTCTTCCATCCTTGTCTTCTTTCATTCTAGTAAAGTCAACATATACTCCGCCTTGACACCCCCTATTTGTATTTGTCTATTTCCTGTCCCAACTACATTCCTTTCTTAGAACCTGCCAGCATGTCTCCAAATTATTACGAGGAAGCAGTGGATCAGTACGTGCATGTTGGCCCAATTTGTTTTGCATATCGAAAATTCGGTGCCGAAACAGGCATTCCTCTCACTCTCCTCATCCACTTTAGGTAAGTATACGTACATTTATCTTCCAGATTTCTACCCGCCCCCCAGTGCTCACAACGGTGTAGGGGCACGATGGATCATTGGGATCCGACGTTTATCAACCCGCTCGCCGCCTCTCGACCCATCATCCTGATTGACAATGCCGGCGTCGGTCGATCAGACGGCGAGGTCACATTGGCCATCAAAGACTGGGCGCAGAACGTTATCAATGTTCTCAACGCAATCGCAGTGAAACAAACTGACCTCTTCGGTTTCTCTATGGGAGGATTCGTTGCCCAGCTCGTGACCCTCAACGCACCACAGCTCATTCGTCGGCTTATACTAGCAGGCACTAGTGCCAGCATTGGTGAAGGAGTTATCGCTCCCAAACAAGTCCCGTCAGTAATGAATCTGAAAGATGCCGAGACCTACGAGGACCAGCGCCAGGCCTACATTGAAGCTTTCTTCGGGGGGTCGCAGAATTGTTTGCAGGCCGGGGGTGAGGCATGGGACCGCATCGTCTCTGCCAGAGAGGATAGGTCAGAACTCCTTGGGTTTGAAGGGACTTGGAGGCAATTCGGCGCCTTTGGGAACTTCCTACTCGACCCGAGCCAGGCCAAAGACGGCTCTTTTAACCGGCTCCATGAGATTCATATCCCCGTACTTGTTGCAACCGGTAAGAATCCTTCTGCCATGTTTGCAATTATGAGTTGACATTGAATGCCTACTTTAGGGAGCAATGACGCTGCCATCCCCACTCACAACAGCTATGTTTTGTGGCAGAACTTGACCAACTCCGATGCGCAATTGCACATCTATGCGGATTCAGGGCATGGGTTTTTGTTTCAATACACAGTCGAATTCTCCAGGCTAATTGGTGAATTCTTGGACAGCGTTTAATCAACAAATTATAAGCTGTCGGTGGACTTTCGGTGATCGTAATGCCACGACATCATGCAGGATATAGCCCGAAGACCTGCAGCGTCACGTCAGGTTCTGCAACACAGACCTCGTGGCGTTCTCCCACAACATACTTATTCAGCTTAGCCTCTCTTGCACTTCTTTTTAACCATTTCATTTGTCGACTCTCAAAAATGACTTTCATCGTGATAATCCCTTCTCGCTTTGCATCCACACGTCTCCCCGGGAAACCGCTGGCCGTAATTCACGGCAAGCCTATGATCGCCCATGTGGTAAAAAGATCACAAGAATCAGCAGCAGCCAGAGTGATTGTAGCCACCGACCATCCCGAAATTGCCAAAGCAGCAGAAGCAGCTGGAGCCGAGGCTATTCTCACCAGAGAGGATCATCAGAGCGGTACCGAGCGACTAGCAGAGACAGTGGATCTCCTGGGTCTCGACGACAACGAAATCGTTATCAACGTACAAGGAGACGAGCCATTCATTGAACCCGAACTCATTGCTCAGCTCGCGCGCGATCTCTCAAGCCACACGACAAACATGGTTACACTAGCCACACCGATTCGAAATGTCAGCGACGCGTTAGATCCAAACATCGTCAAAGTCGTTCTCGATGCAGAAGGAAATGCTCTTTACTTTTCGCGAGCTCTGATTCCCTGGGATCGTGATGCCGGTGGGCTTGGATCTAGTGAGCATGTACTTCAACATATCGGCCTTTATGGTTATCGGGCAGGCTTTTTGCGGAAATATCCTACTTTGAAGCGTACTTCGTTGGAGGATATCGAGAAATTAGAGCAGTTACGAGTCCTGTACCATGGAGGGAAGATACATGTATCTGTGACGAACTCGGTTTTGGCTTTGGGTGTGGATACTGAGCAGGATTTGGAACGAGTTCGATGCATGAGTCCACAATGAATGATCTCGCTGGAGTTTTTCTGTTGACAAGGGATTTAGTTGCCCCGATTCGGTCGTAGGTAGTCTATGCCAACTCCGCGAGGAGGGATGTAGAGCTGGGTGTCGTTTTCAGATCGGATGTAGGGCTATGGATGTTTATAGTTGTGTCACGGGATTTGGCTGGATTGTATAAGCTTCACCTACTAAACCAGGTTGGGTAACTTTCTAGATACACACACTTCTCTCTGCTTTCTCCAGTCTCACTTCAGCACTACCTAGATAGTTCCCTGCTGTCTCATCACGCAGTCTTATCAAATAGAAGAACACATATATTTCTTTTTGGTCTTCTGTATCGTGCAAATGGAGCAGCACGACTTACTCCTCATCGTCGATGCCTCACTTGGTTGCTATCTACGCTCACTAACCGTATCCCTCCCCGAGATAATTTCGATTTCCGCTCAGAAAAGATGCTTCTCACGAATCGGAGTTCTCGTATACCGCGATTACGAATACAACAAGGTCCTCGAATGGTCAGGATGGCTGAATCAAGGCCAAGATGAGCCCTCGCACGAGCAATAGCCCGACTTGATCGCTTTCATCAAAGGGCTCCACAAAACTAGGGGACGCGACTACCATAAGGCTGTCAAGACAGCTATTGCAATGGCCTGCCAGGTTATGCGTGCCAACGCGAAGACACTGATATTTCTTTACGCTTATAGACAGCCTGATCCACATGAGTCTTCTGCATCAAAGGAGAAGCCTGCCCTGTTGGCCCCGGGGTCTTACTCCCGATATGGCTCCGCATGTATTGATTGGGTATCAGGTTGCAATACCCTTAGAGACGGACCGAAACAAGCACAGGTCTTTGCTATCCTTGAAGAATTTGTGATAGAAGAGGATGCTGCCTGGTACAACTACCTGTCTACTAGGACAGATGGGACTTGTGTTGAAATGAAAAGCCACCTTCCGGGGGACATTGCTAAGGTGACAGTTGATCTGCTTCTAGCATGGATGGGAGTGGAGAATGCTCCTTCTTCCATCAACCAAGGCCAAGATGAAGATTCTTCCGCTGAGCTGTTACGCTATATCTCGGTCAGCGAAATTGACAGCCTTGAGAACGAGAGTGATAGAAACACATCCCCATATTTCTCGACTATGTCATGGTGGCTGTGGGACGATTGCAAATAAAACACCACTAAGGTCAGACTGACGGCAGATACCATGAAAGAATATGTTCCCAGAAAGACCGCCCCTATGCCAGACTTTACCGATGAGATCGCATCTATCATCGACAGCGTCCCCAACACAGAAATGTATCCCTGCGTCTTCTTTGACCTGACATTGAGCTTTTCCAACAAAGTGTATGAAGAGTATGGTACAGAATATGAGAGGAATAGGCCCATCTCAAGTCTGACCCGATCCGAGCTCTTACAAATTGGCCGATCTTGCAACCCCCGTGTCCTTCGGCGGTTTGGTGCTATCCTGACCAGGTTGACTGTTGTAGCATCGGCGCGTGAGATTCCCGATCACATCTCCAGTACTAGTGCCGACCAGGTGGCCAAGATTCCATTGGTATTGGCAACGGAAAAATACAATAAACAGTTCTGGAAAGTCCTTCTCCATACCATTGAGCCCGGAACGAAGCTGTCGGCTCGATCTACTGCCCTTCTTGCTGCTCTCAGTCTACGGATGGGGATTGTGCCACTCATGAAAGTAGCACAGGGGATGCTTGCATTCAAAGATAACTGGAACGACCCTGCAACACCTCAGACTTGGAATAAAGAATGCTTGACGCTCCTACTTCACGCTGATGAAGCGCACCAGAAGCAGCAAGATATGGGTTTGACTAAGAATCAGTCCCGGATCTTGAATCCCACCGACAGAACACTGTTTGAGCGTCTGGTTACTTGCAAACATTTAGAACATCAGATCGATAATCGACTACCAGCTCGAGTGCCTCGGATTGCGGAGAAAGCAATCGCATCAGTCGGACCACTAGTGACATGTCGAGATTGTCAGTATCCCAGATCCGTCACCATAATGGGCGCCGATGGAAAATGCGGTCCTTGCCTCAGCGAGTATGTCGACGAGAAGACGAAGGAAATCTGCATCAATAGAGGAGTCTCGAAGGACGTGACTACCAGTTCTAAAGTCACCTGGGTCGAATGTATCTCTAAATGCTGCCGCGCCCAATACGTTATCTATCGCCCTGATGTGCTGGTTCATCCCGCGGAATGCCATTACTGTCGAAGCCAAAGGTCTCCTGCCCCAACCGTCCAGTGTGACAAGTGCTCGAATCGCATGATCTGGCCCGGAGAATACAGGACTTCGGCATTCAAAGAGTCGGACTTCATCTGCCCCCTCTGCACCTCAGGCTGTGACCCAACAACAAAGCTCGAAGTGACGCTATCTGAGATATCCACCGAGAACACATTCCCTTGGCTAGTTCAAGATACAAATGACCCGAAACTATGCCTCCGGAACGGCTCTATCCTCCACATCCGTAGTGAATCTATCTTCCAAATCATTACTAGAATGGGCAGCGAGGGATTCCTTTCCAGAATCAGTATTTTCCCTTCATCTGAGCCCCAGCTACGCTACGACGGAAAGCCCATTCACAACTCCAAAGAGCTAATCTCAACCCTCCAAAAGCTCGTCAAAGATCGCAAAACAAGCGACAAAGAATGTTCCCTGTGCTTCAGCAGATACATGGACGGACTACACCCAGCATGTGGACGCGATGGCTGCCTCCAGAAAATGTGCACCACCTGCCTGGTAGAATGGTACAGACACAACTCTCCAGGCTGTGTGATCAACACTGCAGTGCTAGGATGTCCATTCTGTCGCCGATACCCCACCCTTCGCCTTGTGGTGAAATATGGGTTGGGTATTCATGGAGTCAAAGATCTCGCTAAAGCAGTCCGAGACAATGGGAAGTTCATTTACGCATGGTGCTGGGAATGTGATACTGCCAAGGTGGCGATGAAGCGGAGCTGTATGCTTGGAGAACCTCTTGAATTGAAGGATTGGGCTTGTCGTCAGTGTCACAAGGAGATATGGAGTGGAAAGAGAGGGTGTCGGAGAAGGCAGCGTCGAAATGGAAGATATATATGATGACGGGGATGATTTGATTATCGATGTAGGTTCCTCCGGGATAAGTGCTTAATGTTGGATATTTCATTATGAATTGTCTGAACTAGCTAGCTACCTTGCAGAATAAAATCTCGTTTAGTGAGTGCCACCCCTTAGCTCCAAATTAATATCGCCCAGGAAAAGGAATCTCAAATAAAGGAAGACACAGGGCAGGGACTGTGAAGAAAACCAAAAATAGAGGAGATCTCCAGTGGCGTCAGAAGAGCAAAAAAACCCCGCAAAGAAAGTCACAATGTTGGAAGAAATGGAAAAGCACAAAACATGAGGGGGTATGGGTAATGGTACAAAAATAAAGGAAAATCCAGGGGCCGATGGGAGACATAGGGGGAAAGGAATGTGAAGACTAATAAGGCGAGTTGACAATATCATCCTTGACAAGACGACTGCTCCATCGGCTGCGCGTACGGTTTGGTGTGGCAGGACCAGCGATGCTCTCGCGGGTGGGCTTCTGGAAGGTACGCTTGGCGACCATGTTGACCTCGTTAGGCAGAGCAACGATGACATTCTTGTCAGAGCCGAACCGGAAGTTATCAGCCATGACATTCTCTTCATACCGCTTAATGGTGTATGGGTCCTTGCGGTTGGCAATAACCTTCTTCATACTCCATGTAATGATGAAGGGACCGGTAGCGGTGACGATGCTAGTTTCCGTTGAGTCGACACCAGTGTTGAAGCGTGCCGTGGTGAACGAGAGAGGCTGTTTCGTCTCATGTTGGAACTGGGCAACGTGTGCGGGCTGCAAGCCGAGACGGCGGGGCTGAGGCTTCGAGTCCTTCGCGAAAGCGCGTTCGAATCCGAGCTTGCCTTCATTCTTGCCTTCCTTCTGCAACGAATCAATGAGGAGAAGGTAGGTACGGCAAGTTGCCAGCACCCAGCGTCCATCTGCAGACACATCAAGACCGATGATCGGCTCGCCGAGAGCCGGGATATGAGTCTTCGCATTGATGCCTAGACGGTCGAACATGCGGATGTCACCCTTGTTAGAGGCGACAGCGAGGTAACCCTTCTCGGTAGTAGCCATAGCCGAGAAGTCATTCTTGCTGGCGTACTGCTTCAGATCGGAATCGACAAGCTTATTGCCAGAAAGACGAGGATCGATCCGATACAGGGCGTTCTTGGAGACACCAACGAATGGCTGGGCCGCGGTCATTTGTGCGAATTTCTGCGAGATTTGTCAGTTTATCCAGAAACAGATTTCGAGACCTCGGAGGTGACTTACGTTTTCGGGAGCAAATGTCTCCACGGCAATATCGTCATGGACCTTCCATTCATCGACGATTTTGCCATACTCCAAATCCATCTTGTACAGCGAGTTGGGATCATCTCCATTCTGAAGAATCATATTCTGATCCTCAGCATGGAGCATGACCTTCTTGGGGCTGAAAAGGTTGCCCTTGGGTGTCTCGACCTTTGAGATAGTCGTGGAGAATTCAAGGTTGTTGTGAGCAGTGTGCTTGAAGACACCGATCTTGGACCCACGCACAACGAATGATCGATCATGCTTGTAGCCAACTGCCAATTGTGAGTTGACGTTTCCATCTGCATCGCGTGTGACAACATCTTCTTCCTCCTCATCGCTGTCGTAGTGTTCACTGCGCTGAGCATCGTCCTGGTCGCCGTCGTATTCCTCTTCGGCCTCCTCTTCTTCTTCCTCGGCCTCTTCCTCTGGCTTGTCGTCGGCATCCTCCATGGTAAGATCCTGGAAGGCATCAAGAACATAGTCTCGGTCATTCTCCTTGACCTTAGTCCACTTCAACTCATTGAGCTGTTCCCACAGCGCCTGCATCAAACCCTCCTGGAACCGTTCTTCCGAGGCTTGGTCCTTGAATCGCAGGAGCCATGAGTATGCCGAACCATCTTCACCGTAGTGGTTGAAGATAAATGAAAGATATTCAAAGTTGAAGACGGGGTTGATATCGGCGACGACAGCCTGTCCTAACCACTCCTTATCCTTGCCAGCAATCTGGAGCCAGTACTGCCAAGTACCGACCTCCGAGACAGTCGCAACGATGTCCGACTCCTGGAGCACAAAGGTTCCAGTGGAGAAGTCGAACAAATGCAGCTCGGCATTTTCCTTGCAGAGAATCTCCTTGGCTTCGGGATGGGCTGCAGACGGCGGGGCAGTAGTCGGTTGCTCCTCAAGAGTAGCAGTCTTGATCTGTCCTTTGGACTGAGCGTATTCCACGTCTTTTGCCATGGCTGCAGCTGAATCCTCTGCTGTGAAGGAATTTCTCATCGGCGAAGAAACCGGGCTCGCAGATGGAATGGGCTGCTCTTCGTTGTATGAGAACTCCTCTAACTCAGCCTCGGTAGCCTTCTGTGCACTGCGGCGGTGTTTGCGTTCGTACTGACACTGGAGGGCGGCAAGCTCAAAAGTGGCGACTTTGTCCGATGGGACAGAAGAGTCGCAGATGAATTCAAAGAGATCACCAGCATCGCCGCTCAGGTCATCCCAGGCCAAAATCTTCGCGCCTCCGTCACGGAGTTCAGAGCGGAAGTGGAGGGTTTGATCGAGGAGGAAAACCTTCTCGTCCTTATCTAGGCCGTCGCCCGCACCTTGCTCGCCGTCTTCGTCCGCAAGTTCTTCCTCGCCCTCTTCATAGGCTCTCTGAATTACAAGCTGGTATTGAAAGTCCTGGCCGGTACGTCGGATCGTGGCAGCGGCGTCCTTGAAGATAAGCTCAGAGTAACCTTTGGGTGACTGTGGGCGGACCAGATACAGCTCGCCTTGGGGGATTTCGATGATGGATTCTTTCGAAGCGTCACCAAACAGAAATTTGCTCACTATTGAATTTAGAGGAGAGGAGAGATCAGTTTACTAATTCAAAACGGTAAAACAACAAAAAAAATGCCCTGGTATGGAGGGGTTTGGCGGGGCATGAAAAGCGCGTTGCTTACCGTTGCGGAGCATAAACATGGTTGCGAGGGGCAGCTGCCAAACAAAAAACCGAAAGGCAGTTGGGAGGAGGAAGGGAGGCGAAGAAGTGAAAGGAAAGTAATGTGGGAAAGAGCGAAAGAAGTAGGCACAGTAGCAAAGGCTCTCCTGCCTATATGAAGAGGATAGCGAGAAAGAAGCAAAAGCAAGTCCTCGAGTGCAATAATCACAATGAAAATCGCTTCCGTCATAGATTCTAACCTTGGAAGGTTGTGGCTGTGGTGGCTAATTGCTGAGGTAATCATCCAAGTTCGCCTTCCAGGGCTATACCTAAATAGGCAACATGCTTTTCTACATTCACATTCGTTGTCTTTTCTCATCTTCTAGTTAGGGAAAGCGCTGATAGATATGAGGGATGAATGGCCTCAGATTTACGAAGAATTTACAACGCTGGAAAGGTTAGTAAAGCGTTCACAAAACGGACAGCAGAGCTCAATCAGATCAAAAGAGTCCCTACACACGGCAATTAATACAAGACCACATGTATTGATACAAGCGTATTGTATGTTTATATCTCAATCACCGCCTGCCTCCTTTTGGGGTTTAAAGATGTACAAGGTATTCATTTGTTGGATAACTCAAGCTATTCCTTCTCTTCATTTTCGTCCTCGCTTCCTTCTTCAAAAGCTGCAATCTCATCCAGCTGCTTCATCTGCTCTGTTTCGAGATCTTCCTCGTTCATATCTTCAGCATCATCCTCCGCGTTGTCCTCACCCTCATTCTGATCTTCCCTCAACGCGCCACCTTTCCGGGTGGGAATAACCTTCATGAAGGCTTTGCCCCAGTCACGAAGCTCCAACCATTGAACCATGATCTCAATGACATGGTTGGTGGCCAGTACCGGACGGTGGGCCATTTGAATGTACTGCCCGATGGGCAATTTGGCAGTTTTGATGCCCTTCTCAACTGCCTGGTTGTAGCAAACTGCCTTATGTCTGTTCTTATCCACTAGCGCTCCAACAATATAAGTGCTGTAAGGCTTCAGCTCGGTCAAAGTATTCTCACTATCACTGCTGAGATAGATGATTTCCCCATCCTCGGGCTTCGCATCGGTTTGTTCAGCGAACGGGCCAGCGAGTTGACCTCCTCGCGCCGCTGTCATCTGTTGTTTGGCCACCTCACCAGCACGCACAAAGTCTTCCTGCATAAAGCGAACGCGCTTCCAGTTCTTATGGGATGCCAATATTGTGTCGAATCGTTCTTTCAGTAATTTGTCGAATGACGAGAAAATCATGTGCCCGTTGTAGATTGCGCGGCTGTTGTCTGAGTATGAGCGCGTGAGCTGGCCGGCCAATGAGATGCGCTCTCTATCAGACATCAGTTCGTCGTAGCCGCAATCCATCACAAACGTCAGAGGTAGGAGTGTTGACTTGGTGTGCTTGGCTTTCTTGCCCCGCCATAACACCCGTAGCTTGTTGACAGCTTCCTCGCCGCCTTTTTCCCTTGCCTCGTCGACCATAGCCTTGCGACGTTCTCGCTTTTGTATGAGCTTGTCCTTCTTCTGGGACTTTTGAAGCGCGCGCTTTTGCTGGTAAGCTTCCGCGCGGCGTAGTTTCTTCATTTGATTTTTCGACATAACAGGCGCGGCTCCCTCAGCGCCATCTTGATGTGTAGAATCATTGGCCGTTTTCGTATCTTTGTGGACAGTGAATTCCGAGATATCGAGAGGTTCGTTGCCAATCTGGGCGCACGCGGGCTCCGGTTCGTTGCCGGCAACCTCACCAGCTCCAGTCATGGCAGGGCCGAGCACCTCGTGGGTGGTATTTTCGTCGTGATCCACCTTGACTAATTTCCGAGGCCGCTCTTGCTCCTCCATCGTTGTCATGTGGAATCGGCAAGCAAAAGATCAAAGGTGGGCTGTCGACTGTAGATCAAAAGTTCAAAAACCGCCCGCCCCGAAACTAATCAACCAATGACGTGCGCCGCAGCCCTCATTACTGTGCACGACTCACGTGATCATCCATACCCAACTTCTCCAATCGTTACAGCGGCTCCTCGCTATCCCTCCAAGCCCTTAACCCGCTCATTACCGTCACAATGCCTCAGGATATGCCCCCAACGGGGGGCTACGCTCAAGTCCAGTACAAGGTAAGCCATACAACCCATTTCCCGGGCTCCCAATGGCCCTGCGCACCCAGCACACAGACATCCAAGCTAACGGGTTCGTTTCTTACTCTCATAGCGGAACGTCCCTGCCCGCGGCTTCAAGCCCGCCTACTACATGATTGGCATGCACGTCATCATGGCCTACGGTTTCTACAAGTACTTCCACGGTGTCCGTGAGCAGCGGTACGTTTTGCCCAGCAACTGGCTCCTTTCCTACCTCCGATCGACCCGAGAGAAACCGCAATTGGAACCCGATACAAACCCGGTAGTGGAAGAAAGAAGTGAACTCAATGACTGATATCTGTTTGAACGATAGTGAGCTCGCCCGTGAGAAGATGTGGTCCCGTCTGCATATCACTCCTCTCCTCCAAGCCGAGGAGGACCGCGACCAGGTCCGCCGGCACTACGCCGACAAGGCACGCGAGAAGGAGCTTCTCGGTACCGATGCCAAGATCTACAACTCCGACCGGTATGTTCCATGCTAGCGCAGTTGGACGCTATATCATTTCTGGGATTGATGCTAATTTTGCTTGCCTTGACAGCTTTATCCGCCCTACTTTCGCCTATACCCCCGCCAATCTCACTCAATAGACAGTCAGACAGTGTCACACTGATCTTTGAGCGATATTGTACCTCCGTTCCCTCCTTTTGACTCTGTATGATGCTGGTGTTTTGGGATGCTTGGTTGGTGACCCCTTGCTTCCATGGTATACGGACTGAACTGGGCCTTTCTGATTGTTGTGGGAGAGCTAGAAGCATTGTGGTGGTAGTTGGGGTAAACCGTCTCGAAGCCATTTCGAGGAAAACATTGTAGATATTACTTGCCTAGTGAAGGGTTTAGTTCAGTCTTTTGCAATATGTCTTATTTCTTTACTCGTTCAAAATGTGTGGCAGAACCACAAATAGGCTATTAGTAGAGAAAGTAATATATTTGTGCATAATTGTATGTGGGCTTTTTATGATATCATCTCTCGCAAAGCGCCGCTGCTCGCTAACGACAGGGGTAGTTGCCAAAGCTGCAACGCAGATCCAGACAGAAAGGACGAAATGTGACTGCAAAAATGGGAGTCGGGCCGCGAATGGTGTACATAATTTAGATGGACCATCCATAGTTTGTAAAATGAAGAATCAACAAGCCCGACAGCACCACAGCATATCCCAACCTTTCACAATCCAGAAAGCAGATCATGCTTAACCTATCCAAATAGATCAGCCACACCACCAAGATCGGGGCCATCGTTAATATCGACACGGTGGTTCTGCTGCTGAGTGTCCATCTCATTGGTCATGTACCTCTCCTGCAATGCTGAACGGGCCTTACGACGTTCCTCGCGAGAACCCAGCATTTTCCCTTGCTCGGCAATACTGATGCCGCGCAAGGGCTCAAGAAGCTCCAAGACTAATGCGCGCTGCTGCCTTGGTGAGGTAGTGCGATGAAGTGCAGACTCGGTAGTGACCACTTTCTCTGCACTGATTCCTGGCAAGCTCAGGAAAACAGCACGAGGGGTTTCGCTACAGAAGCCATAGAGACACCAAATTGATGCAATTAGCTGAGCGAGGTCCTTTTGCATATCGACAAAGTATGATTCATGTACGGATGAAATGCATGCTGTGAGGACATCAGTACATATGAATTCGCGGATGGTCGCGATGGTTTGGGTGTCCGGGGTATCGTTCGTGGGCGCAAAGTCTTGCAGAATTGACCGAATGACGCGCGTGATGATGCTACCGCTGCGCGTATCGCGCATGCGAAGAGCGTGCGTACAGAAGAGCATGACTGGCTCAAAGATCTGGGGGGAGGAGAGGACGAAATGGCGGATAGAATCAGAGAGGTTCGGGGTCGGCTGGGGTGCACTGGGATCCGATTCAGTCCCATCTGGATCTGAGGGGTCATATTCGGTTAGTATCGGGTGGTTTATGCTTAGGAGTAGCTGGCGGGTCAGGGAGCGTTTACCACCTCTCTGTGGATCAAATAGACTGGCTACCATGATCACAGCAGAGTAAGTCAACTGGCGAAGGACACTTTCGGACTTCATCTCCGTGGTGAGATCTCCGTCCGAAATTCCGTTCCTGCGTTGTTCAATGATTTCCCATTCTGTGGTGACTTTGCGATCAATGTTGGTGAACAGAGTCGATAGCATGGGAGGCAAGAATTGGCTGCGGAATTGCACAGGGCAGTCGTCAATCAGACAACGCGATATGTTGAGAAGAACCGAGAACTGGTGGGAGGAGAGATGCGGTGAGTCAACGAACAATGCTTCAGATAGGGGTCCTGGGAGTTCGGCGAATCCATAGAAGTGCTCTCGCATCCTGCTCATGCTGAATAGCATGGAGTAGCATGCTTCGCGGACAGCTCTGACTTTTCCTCGAACCGATGATGCAAACCCTTCAAGTGTAGACTTCGATGATGTGATTCTAGCATAGAACTCGTCGCGGCTACCGATCGAAATACCAGCCTGCCAAAATCGATCCGTGAGGATACGTTCGACTACTGGTTGCATGCCTTCGACCATATTCCAATTGGTAGGGTTGTGGAAGGCATGGGCGTGTCTTGAAATTGAAAGTTAGCTTGATGGCATGAATCTGCATTAGCATAGATAATTACCTGACAAGCTGCAGTAAAGTGGGGAGAATGACAGGGATCAATTCGTGCCACATCTCACAGGCGGTCGCATAGGCTGGCGTAGACTTTTTGAGTCGATCTGTCGAAACAGCCAACATAGTCTTCGTGCCACGCAATGGCAACAGCTAGAATACAATGGGTCAGATTGGCCCTAGCACAGAAATGAGTGTTGGGTTTCTTACCTGGAACTTTCTGGTCATCTCTTCTTGGACTAACTTTCCTTCGTTATCCAGGACAACCTCGGACCAGTCTACCAGTTTCTGTGCTTCTTTGGATTGCATGTATGGACCAACATTCTCCAATCCAAGCATATTGCAAAACCCGGGGAAAGTGGAGCTGTTGTGACGAAATTGGTCGTCTTGCCATGACTCTCGGATGGGCTCGAGGAAGGATGCAAGCCGATTTTGGCGCAGATAAGGATCGGCATTGATTGCGCGTTGCCTGCGTTGAGTCAGTATGGGGCAACCTAGATGGACAACAAGAAGGGGAAGAAAAGATACATAATAATGAGCAAGATAGAAGTCAGTTCCATTTGCAGCTTGTCATCGATGCGGTTAGCCAGTGTGATTTCTTTGATCTTTGGCTCAAGAAGGTCATAGAAAGTCTGCAGTTGGCACGGTTAGAGAGTACTGGACGATCAGGATGTGAGAATTGACATACATAGAAGTAGTCCGCATAACGCATAGCCAATCGACGAAGTTCAGAGCTTGCCAATCCATGGAGTTCCTTGACTGCCTCGGAGTACAATGGGTATTCTGACCGATCTGGTAGACGTGACATAAGAATGTGTTCCAGAACTTTGAGCGCAAATCCTGGATGATTGTCCAAAGCCCTTGAAGATATGTCGACAGCCAATTTGATGACTCTTTGTTTCAGGACCGGATCCTATGGCAAAGAGATGAGTGGATGGAATTCCTTGGATTTATGCAAAATGACATACCTCAAAAGACTTTTGCATCAAAGTTGAAGCCCAGTTTTCCACTGCATGTTCTAATTCCATTCGTTTGGACTCCTGTTAGATATTAGCAATCGATTATTCATTTTTCCGCTTCATCCTCTTACATCACGTTGTGGTGCTTTTCCGTGGGCCGAAACCCACTTGTTGTAGCCCTTGACGACAGCCTCTACCACGGCGAACTGAGCATCCGCTCGCATAAGAGGAATCGAAGATTTGGTGAAAGTTGCCACTGTAAGATGAATGAGTCGCTAAGTCCATAGTTCAATAGGCTGTGACACTCACTACTAAATGGCTCAACGCCGCTATACAAGTTGTCGAGGTTGGTGTCCACCCGGGCCAAAATTTCGCGCACTGCTTCTTGGGGCCGCTTGAAGGTGATGATTTCGATGATCGAGGAACAGTAACGGCGGTAATTACCAACAAAGGCATGTCGCTCGGGGACTGTATCAATGTCCTCGACCAAGAACTGCACCGTGGGATCATCGGATTCAGTCGGGAGAGACTCCCAACGAAGAAGCCTCTGGGTGCAAATATTCAAGAACTGAGGAGTTTGTTCTTGAACAAAGTCCAAATTACTAATTTTTGAGTTTTGTAGCAGTCTGGACCAAAGATGCAAGCAAGGTATGGAGACGGTCAAGCTCTGGTGTTGCATGATGTTGACCATGAATTGCAGGAATGGCGGCAGATTCAAACGGTCCATGGTAGAGACTAAGAACTTGTCATCTTCCAAGCATCCTGCGATATATGAGACCATCTCAGAGAGCTTTTTAGAGATTAGATATTTGGGATCATCAACGTCATCCGGTCCCACGATTGACCATTCGTAAAGCCTTTGAAGAACAACAAGGTATTCTGACTCAAATATTAGGCAGACTAGCTCGTGCGATTCTTCGCTGCCGATAGTGTTTCTTCCATAGAGCGCATGGAGTGCTTCAATTGCAGAGAGAAGCACTTGGTCATCTTGACAAGGCAAAGCTCGGAAAATGCTGGGAACAACATGGGAGGCAATGACACCTTTGTAGACGGACCATGACAAGGCAGATCTCAAAGTTGCCAGAGCCTTTATGGCCGCATCCCGAGCCTGTTCCGAGCTAGAGACATTCTGGACGCAATTGTCAAGAAATTCGCAAATGCGAACGAGCCAGCCCTCCTGTCCACAGCGTGGAATGGGGGTGCTGGTTTTGTCTCCAGTAATTTGCTCTACGATGCCTGCAGGGGTAAAGATCTCGATGAGCGACCGATTGAGCTCACCTCCCCGCAGTGACGAAGCAGTATCTTCTCGGAAAAAGACATCCTCGGAAAGGGTCTCAAGAACAGCGAGTACCAGCTCTTTGTGGACGAGAGATGCACCCCAGAACTGAACCAGGTTGGCATCCATATCCATCCAATCCAGCCCCCAGGTCTTCTTAGCAGCCTCGGTCCACAGCTGGGAGATCTTATTCCGGAAATAGGCAGGGTCTTCGGGGCGGACGTTCTCGGCGAGTTGCAAAATCATCATGCGTAAGGTCTTGGCTTCTTCGGGATTGGTGAAGTTGTATTGGCGCAGAACGTGATCGAGGAGAGTAAGACCGAAGTATCGGACAACGGGCTCATGCTCCATACGGGAAGCCAAAAGGAAGCCATTTCGCGCCGCGGCATCAGAATCCTTCAAATTCTCCACGAACTGCGAAGCATCCTTCCGTATATCGTTTGACGATGCCGGGTTGTGAATGAGTTGCAAGGCACGGATGATGTCGGCCATGCCGCCCTCCGACAACTCCTCCGCAGCCATCCTGTTGACGCGTTGTAGAAATATTTGGTGAACAAAAAATTAAAGTCTCAGTCTCGTTTCACTGTAGTAGACTGCGTCTCATAGTCAGGGAAGGGCAGGTAAGACTCGATGGCCGTTGAACTTGTCCTGTGTTAGATTAGCAGTCGGACACCGCAACGGCCATCCGCACGCGCCACTCGCTCTTTCCGGGGGAGGGTTGTTCGAGGTTGAGGACCGGACTTGAAGTCGTGAATCGGTACTTTTGCAATGCAGCTAGTTGGCGAAGTAAGATCACAAAAGGGAAGACTTGCAGAAGACAATTGGTGACTTGTCGGGCTGAGAATTTTCCCTGGAGATCAACAAGGGCACACCGCTCACCCGTTGATGCTCCGCTCTTCTTTCACCTTTGCGGTGCACTGGATAGAGGACTGGATGGAAGTATTTTAAGGTTAAAGAGGATGAGTTAGGTAACAATTGGTATAATATTTCTTTGTTTTATGCTAATCTATCCTAATCCACGTTGTTTTGGTGTCATCATAGCT